AATGGCCATTATTTGGTGTCCTATTTGGCAGGACACCAACACAGTCTTCCTTAGAAAAATCATTAGCTACAGTAGAAAAATCACACTGGAAGAAAGTCCTTGCACACTTATTACTTGGTCCCAGAGCTTATGATCAGGATTGCTGCATAGATATGGTAAATAATAGCTCCTTTGCACCTCTTATTTAGATTCAGGAGGGTGTGATGATGACCCACCTATCACCTTCAGACGCACGGTCTCTGACACCTTGTCTGACTTCATCGTCACTGTGCCAGCATCTTCAGGCTTGACCTGCTTCATCGTCAGCATGTAGCAATTGCCAACGTTCCTGATGTCATTGAAATTGTTGGTGTAAAGGAGGGTGCCGTTGAGGAACCATTCCACATCTTCGTCATCATGGGACAGCTCGCAGGAGAAGACAGCGGAGCTCTCTTCTTCAATTTCCACGTCCTGCAGATGTTTGAGTACTTCTACGTTGCGGGCTGTAGAAAACCAAGGTGCACATCACCACTGTTACCATAAATCAGTACTGCTATCACGAACATATTTTATAGTATCTAGAATTTGTTAGATGGTTTAGTCTTGTCTCCTGTGTACCGTGGGTCATTAAATTTACGTGGTTCTGCATTTAGTCCAACAACAGCAACAAAAAAATCCAATAAAAAAATTATATTGTCTAGAGTCCTCAATTCTCTTTTTACACATAAAACTGGTTTGTTGTTTTTTCTTTTTAATTTAAAAATAAGCAATTATTCCTAAAATGGTAACGATGTTACAGCAGTGTCTAGGTACCCCACAGAGCTCGATTCCCTGTGTGCTTGTCGCCACCCATACATTCACACCGTATAACTAAATTATCCCTGACTCACTGCCAGGAAAACACAGAGGATGAGATGAAGACAGCAGGGTTGGCCACAAACAGCAAGTACAAAGAGATTAAGCAATTTGCTCAGGTTTAGGGAGCAACAGGAACTGAATTCTTTTCTTTCCCAGCCCTTGGCCAGAAGTTTCTCTTCGCAATTTCTCCACTTATGAAATGCTGTTTCTCAAGGACTGGCTAACTCAGAGGAGGGTTTGGGAGTATTAAATCATTTTGTCATTTGGAGGAACCTCTGCAAGGCCAAACTGTTACCAAGAGTGGCTGCCTGGACTCATGGAAATGATTCAGTGGCTCACATCCAAGTCTTGCTGAAAGTGACACAAAGATCACCTTTTCTTACAGATTCACCACAGCTGAAGAGTTGGCTAAAAACAGTTTCATACCAGGATGAGGCAGAACATTACTATGAATAACAAACATATAACAGATATAAAAGCTGACACAGTGGCCAGGAAATGAAAACCACAACCAGGTGGCCTGTAGCAGTTTAACATAGAGGTCACTTTTTAGTGAGAAGTACCAGAGTTCTAGTTCCTCAAATGAAACAGAAAATAATGTGCCCTGAGAAAGACACATGAATTTCCACCTTACCCAGATGGTGTCCTTCCACATGCATTACCTGCTTCATGGCAAATGCTGGATTTCAGCTGATATCATGGAATATCAGCACAGTTCACTTAAGGCATTGCATTTACATAATAGTAGCAGAAGGAACTGTGGGAACCTCCGTATACTCAAGAAGAGAAACCCACGGTGAAGTACGTACCCATAAAGATATCATAGAATAGTCTGGGTTGGAAGGGACCTTTAAAGGTCATATAGTCCAACTCTCTGCCATGAGCAGGGACATCTTCGAGATGATCAGGTTGCTCAGAGCCCCATCCAGCCTGACCTTGAATGTTTCCAGGGATGGGGCATCTACCACCTCTCTGGGCAACCTGGATCAGCGTCTCACCACCCTCAGCATAAAAAATTTCTTCCTTGTATCTATGCAACAGGCAAGTCTCTCTGCTGCAAAACCCTTGTACCTTCAACAGTCAGCGTGGCTTCGGTCTCTGCGCTTCCAGGCCTGCATTTGTACACACCAGCATCTTCCGGCTTCACCTTCAAAATCTTGAGCTCTGCTGAATACTGCTCCCTCTTGATTTTGTACTTCTCGGAGGGCTCAATGAGTGTGTTGCCCTTGAACCACTTCACAATCTTTGGGGAAGGCCTGAAGTCACAAGACAGGACGACAGAATGGCGCTCCAGGGCGGTCTTGTCCTCCATCTTCCTGGTGATCTGTATGTGGTAATCTGTAAAGCAGGGTTGGGAGGAATCATAGAATGGTTTGGGTCGGAAGGGACCTTTAAAGATTATCTAATCCACACTCCCCTGCCATTAGCAGGGACATCTTCAACTAAATCAGGTTGCTCAGAGCCCCATCCAACCTGATCTTGAATGCTTCCAGCAATGGGGCATCTACCACCTCTCTGGGCAACCTGGAGCAGTGTTTCACTACCCTCATTTTAAAAAATTTCTTCATTATATCTAGTCTGCAACTACCCTCTTTTAGTTTAAAGCCATTAACTCTTGTCCTGTCATAACACATGAAGAAGAGGAAAGCTTCTAATCTGTATTTCATGGCAATGATTTTAATGCATGTCATTCACAATGCTTTGTGAATTGTTTAGATGATGCTACAGGTTCCTGTTACAGAGTTGATTTCCTTTGAAGCTAAACCAAAGTGATGATCTATAGGGAATGTTGATTTCTATAAGATAATACTGTGTATTAACTAACAAATGCATGGTCCGGTTCTGGTGTAATGTTTACTGAAACCACTCTCTAATTCAGGACTTTATGCAAGTAAAACTGAATTAAAGACAAAACAAGGACTTCAGGATGCGATTGGAGATATTTACAATGGAGACAGGGGAAGATAAAAAGCCCCGAATCCTGAATCTTTGTCTCCAATCAAATTGATGACAAAGTGGATTAAGTAAATGAGCTATCAAACTTGTCTAGTTCAGAAATAGCACAAAATAAACGCTCCTGGCAAATTGCATGTTTTTTCCTCGTTGATAAAGTCAAGGGGGAAAAAAAATGGTCTTAGCTGAATAGATTCGAATATCAGGCCCTGCAAACTCATTTAATTGGATCCCTTCCTGAGGCATTGCTGTCTCATTTAGTGCATCCAGCACTGCGCCCGACAACTTGTCATTGGGAACTAAGCAGATCTTCCAGGTAGACCTCCATTTTCAAGACCCCAACCAGTGGAGCCTGGCAGTATGTAGGAAAAATTACTTTGCAGGGACTGAGAGAGAGAGGATCTCTTGTGATCTAATTCAAGCCCAGACCGTATCATGTTACCTCTGACAAGCAGGTTTGCTGTGGATTTTGATTTGCCAATGCAGAACTGAATGGTGCCTGTCATATCAGCACTGGTTTTCAGGATTGTCAGCCGGTGGATGGTGCCTTCTTGCTGCATGACGATGTTTCCGCCAGCCTGGAGGGCCGCTCCCCGTAGGAACCATTTGGGCGGTTTCACGGATGGAATGGATGTCTCACACTCAAAGTTGGCTTCTTCAGGCTCAGTCACATCCTCATCACACAACTCCTTTACAATGTTAATGGATTGCTCTGGATGAAGGATGGAAGGAGAAAACAGGGATTTAGGAGTCACGAAAGCATCATAGAATGGCTTGGGTTAGAAGGGACCCTAAAGATCACCATCCTGTACAATCATGCCATCTTTTCTGCATTAGAATACTGCACTTTTGGGCTCAAAACACCTTAAAACATCCTTTTTAAAAAAAAAAAATAAAAATAAACAAACATATATTGTTGGTCACAGATCAGACAATGAGACTGTAGAACAGCCTCAACATAATCCAGATCTCCTGTTTCCTGGTCCTATTTCTAAAATCACCTTTCTACTGTGATATCAAATGCATGGCACTATTAAAATGGAAAAGAAGGTTCCTTGAAATGCAGATGTTGATAATAGGAAAAACGCTGATTAGCTACAGCAACTGTTCTCTGAAAAAAACCTTAAACTACTTTTAAGTAATTTTAAAAAATTACTTAAAATGCTTTTAAAGTGCTATTGTGTTTTCAAAGTAAATGACAAGGGCTTTTTAAACCAGCCAATCCTCCTTCAAATGCATCCTAGAGGGGATAAAAATGGTTTACTACCTTCAACAAAGAAATTAGCACTGGTTTTGTCATCAAAGGCATCACAAGTGTATGTGTCCTCATCTTCATAACCTGCGTCATTGATGATGAGTTTCCGATAGACACCTTCACTCACAATTTCATATTTGTCACTAGGGTGAATTTCAACACCCTTTTTATACCATCGAACTTTGGCATTGGCACGAGACACCTGGCACTCCAGGAATCCCCGATGTTTTTCAAGAGCGATCTTGTCTCGCAAAGGCTTCACAATTTTTACAGGTATTTCTAAAACGGATTTAAAAAAAAAAAAAAGATAAATCATCAGGACAGTTTCCATGAAAAGTGCAAATTAAAAACTCATTAGCAATATTTCTTTTATGGACAGATATTTGGATGATGACAGGAATCCCTGCTATGCTAAACACTCAACTAACACACAGCAAGTGAAGAGCTAATGAAAGGAAAACTCTTTATCCCTATTTTACCACTTGAGTGGCTGAACTGCAGAGATAATAGGTAATTTACTCAACAGTACACAGCAGTGCTGTGGCAGAGCCAGGGATTGATCTCAAATGTCCTGAGCTCCTCATCAGTGTGTTAGTTCAAATGTCTTCTTTCTCTCTCACTCTATTGCACTGTTTAACTTAAACGTGAAAAAAATGCTACATGCTTTTTAAACATACACCAGAAAGAGAAAATGGAGGAGAAAGTCAAGCTACAGCTTTTTGTCTCTCAAAGTTCAAACATTACTTAATATCTTGAGCTACAAAACCAACCTCCTGAGAAAATAAACTGCAAAAGAAAATTCCCAGGCTGATTATTTCACATGCAGTAAGGTAGACAGGAGCTTTCCTGAAAAATTGAGGTGTTGTTTAACCTTCTTCACATTAAAAGTGAGGGACGTTGGTTGGTTTGTAACATGAGAAACCTTAAGCAGTACTGGCATGAAAAGTATAATTACCTTTTACAGTAAGCTGGGCACGAGATTCTGCCTTTTCTGCTACAAATTTGATCTCTGCTGCATCTTCGACTTGGACACGTGTGTAAGTCAGCGAATAGGTCTTTCCTGAGAACAGAGACACAACCGTAGTTTCCCTTGAGCAAACAGCATTGCTCTCCAAGGCACACTGCCCGGTTGAGCATTGTTCATCTGGTTTCAGTGCATCACCACCTGCTCTCACAGTGGCAAGGCTGACCATTCCCCCATGTCTACATCCCTGTGTCAAAGGATAGCCTCACCTCAGATCCTCCAAGGACTGATTGAGCGTGGGCCTCACTGTCTGTGTAGGACTTGAAAAAGAAGGATCCCACCCAGCCCAAAATTCTCACCAGCGAATAGGTCTTTCCTGAGAACAGAGACACAACCGTAGTTTCCCTTGAGCAAACAGCATTGCTCTCCAAGGCACACTGCCCGGTTGAGCATTGTTCATCTGGTTTCAGTGCATCACCACCTGCTCTCACAGTGGCAAGGCTGACCATTCCCCCATGTCTACATCCCTGTGTCAAAGGATAGCCTCACCTCAGATCCTCCAAGGACTGATTGAGCGTGGGCCTCACTGTCTGTGTAGGACTTGAAAAAGAAGGATCCCACCCACCGTCAGATGGTACAAATTCTCACTCACTCCTGGCAGCATAGGGTGGTGGGATGACACCAAATTTCCCTTATTAAGGTTCCCACCATCCCACTGTCCCAGCCTAGCTGTAGCCCCAAAAGAAAAGGGGAACTCTCTGCTGAATCTTCATAACTTGATTTTGGAGGTCAGACCCTTCTGCCGAGAATCCCCTACCAGCACCTACTCCAACCCACCCCCATTCGAGAACGAGATCCTCCTTTTACATCCTACCATCTTGGCGCATTCTGATATTGTCAGCAGCCTTCAGCTTGTTGTCATTTTTGTACCATTGGGTTTGGACCTCATCATGCGAAATCTCACAGACGAAAGACGCACTCTCATATTCGTTGACTTCCACATCTTCCAGTGGTTTTACAATCTTGATATCTCGGGCTGTGAAATCATAGAGTCATATATTGGTTTGGGGTTTCACCATAAGTGAGCGTGGTGTGTTTATTTTCTGCATGCTTGCATGGAAAAAATGGGATTGTGTTTTTTTTCTAGCTGAACAGTGAATACATTTTGGGCTTGAACCTACAGACAGAATAGCCATCTACAGTGGAGCTCACTGCAAGAGGATTTTATGGATGCCAGAACTTCATAAAGTTTTTAAAAGAAGTTAAACATATCAATGAAGAAAATTTGCTAAGGAAAACCAAACACAAGCCTATAATCTCTTGTGCCACTATAAACCTGTCTCATTCACATGCTTCTCTGCATGCTCTCCTCTGACACGTTTTTTTGTGTGTCCAGGCTGTATCAGCCACAGACAATCTTGATATCTCGGGCTGTGAAATCATAGAGTCATATATTGGTTTGGGGTTTCACCATAAGTGAGCGTGGTGTGTTTATTTTCTGCATGCTTGCATGGAAAAAATGGGATTGTGGTTTTTTTCCTAGATGAACAGTGAATACATTTTGGGCTTGAACCTACAGACAGAATTGCTATCTACAGTGGAGCTCACTGCAAGAGGATTTTATGGATGCCAGAACTTCATAAAGTTTTTAAAAGAAGTTAAACATATCAATGAAGAAAATTTGCTAAGGAAAACCAAACACAAGCCTATAATCTCTCGTGCCACTATAAACCTGTCTCATTCACATGCTTCTCTGCATGCTCTCCTCTGACACGTTTTTTTGTGTGTCCAGGCTGTATCAGCCACAGGGACCTCAGCCACGTTTTATCAAGGAGATGCCTTTTCTTCAGACTTCCCTGAATTCAGTATAATCCCCTACCTCTGCAACTTATGTCAGAACTGACCCATATTTCTGTGCTACTGCAGCCTTTTCCTTTTGAAAGGAATGGCCTTGGTACACCTTGGATCAGCCCCAGGAGCAGAGCTCAGATGCAAACCAGCCAGCATTCAAACAGAAACCCATCCCAATCACAAAGTCAGGGAGGAAAAGGGGAGTTCAACACAGCAACGGAACAGGACAGATGTTCATGAAGATATTGCTGAACCCAAGTGGCCACAGGAGGACAGCATCCAGTAAGCAATAAGAAAGAGCTGATCTGTCTTTTCAGATGTCCCTCTGGACAATAACATCTGCCAGGGCACAGCAGACCATTCAGTAACTGGCCTTCAGCACTAGCTCATCTCTGGTGCTTCAGAGCCTGGTGACAAAATACATCTGTCGCTTGACCAGTTGCACAGTTCAACGCACAGAAGGAAAAGCTGCCTTGAGCATGAAGGAGAGATGCAGTCAGAAAGCACTTTCCTTAGCATTTACAATGTAAAAACTAGGAAACTTCTTGAGATCATACTCAGGGCTTGTCCAGTCCCTGTTCAGGCAAAGTCCTCCCATAACAGTGGCAGAAGCTAAACCAAACCACGTCACCACCATCCACTGTATCCCTGCTTTGTGTCAGACAGTCCACTATTTGCCAACTTGTGAATCTAGAAACACCATTTAAATTCCAGAGACCAGAAACCACTTATGATAAATGGAAAACCAAGATAGCACATCTTCCAAAAATACTCCTCTAAGGATAGAGCAAGCACAGAGAGAAAGTTATCCAAAGTAAGTAACTGAGAAATACACAAAGCGTCCATGAAGCATTTTGTGCCATGGAGTCAAAAATATGGCAGTAGATGTAATTTCCTACTTCAGTCAAACATACCGTGAACCTTTAGGGTAGCTGACGTCTTGTCTTCAGCTGCTTCACACGTATAGGTTCCCTGGTCTTCATATTCACACTTGTGAATAATGAGGCTTCTCTTGTTTCCTTGGGAAATAATCCCCACTGTCTTACTTTGCCAGAGCTCTTTCCCATCCTAGAAGAGAAATGGCCAAACCAGGTCATCATCAACTCTTCCACATCTGCAGCGAGCGAAACAAACAGTCAGGTGTTTAATTCATCCATCTCATTGGACTTAATGGAACTGTGCTTACTGGAACATCTGCTGAAACTTAAGCCCAGTGGAAAGCTGACAAGAAGTAGGAAAGGCTGAAGAAGATACATACCAAAATATGGCAGTAGATGTAATTTCCTACTTCAGTCAAACATACCGTGAACCTTTAGGGTAGCTGACGTCTTGTCTTCAGCTGCTTCACACGTATAGGTTCCCTGGTCTTCATATTCACACTTGTGAATAATGAGGCTTCTCTTGTTTCCTTGGGAAATAATCCCCACTGTCTTACTTTGCCAGAGCTCTTTCCCATCCTAGAAGAGAAATGGCCAAACCAGGTCATCATCAACTCTTCCACATCTGCAGCGAGCGAAACAAACAGTCAGGTGTTTAATTCATCCATCTCATTGGACTTAATGGAACTGTGCTTACTGGAACATCTGCTGAAACTTAAGCCCAGTGGAAAGCTGACAAGAAGTAGGAAAGGCTGAAGAAGACGCATAATTATTGGTTGACTTTAGACACCTATTTGAAGGCTTAAAGCACTGTACAGGGTTGGCAATAAACCCCTTCAGACATTACCTTGAAGAAATGCCGTTATCCTTTTTTTAAGGGAAGTATCAGCTGAGCCCCAGAGAAGGTTCATGAAATGCCTGAGTTGGTCCCCAATATGGTCAAGTAAAAGAACATAAGCAAAAAGGAGCTACATAGTAAAGGTTCAGACTCACATCCCCTGGAAGTGAAATTAAAGGCTCTCATTCCCTTTCAGAGAAGTCAGAAATCAAGATAGCGCTATCCGTTAAATGCTGTACCTTGAACCACTTAACATCCACGTTGGGCCTGGACAGCTCACACTCGAATGTGACCTTTTCTTTCTGTGTTACATTGATGTCTACCAAAGGCTTGCTGATTTTCACAGGCAATTCTGCAAAAAAAAGAATAAAAAAAGAAAAAAAAAAAGAGAGAGAGAAAGTCCAGTTAGTGGGGAATTAGGTCTCCAGGACCATCTGGCACAAGCAATAATGACTAGGCAGAGCCTGGCTTCCATGCTTAGCAAAACTTGTGACAACAAAATTGTATTCTTTTGAGCACATTATCATGATTTGTTCTGTGGACAATGATGTTAAAATAATCCTGTTGACATTAGAAGGACACGTTACTGATGACGGTCCAGTGCTTAACATCCCTCAGAGTTACAAGGAAAGCTTGTTGCACTGCTAGAAGCTCACTCTCTGGGTCAGGAGAAGACAACCATGTCCCACACCAACCAGGGCCTGAGACTTCTGGGCTTTTGTACCTGTCACTGTGAGCTTCCCTGATGAATGAATTCCCTCTGCTTTGAAGGAGACGAGTCCTGCATCTTCAAGAGTCACCGAAGAAAGAGTCAGTGAATGTTTCTTGCCCAGGACACCAATATTGATATTCGGTGCAGGCTTCAGCCGAATGCCATCCTTCTGCCAGGTCCCTTCCACGTCCTCATGAGATACTTCCACCTCAAAGGTGACGGTTCCTTTCTCAGAGACTTCAAGGGGCTGAAGACCTTTCACCAGCTTGATCTGCCTCACTGAAAAAACAATAAGGACAAGTTGGAGATCTCACACCAACAGCTGTGAAACAGCCTGAGGACTTCCAAAATAGATTATTTCCCTATTCCTCATGCAGGTACTTGCCAATTAATTGATATCTGCCCATACAACAACCACTTTTGCAGGAAACAAAAACTTTTCAGTTGGGACAAATAAGTCAGCCAGGCATTGCAGAAAAAGGGGAAATTGTCCCCATGGCAAGTGGAGGTGGAAGTGGCCATTATGATAATGGCAGAGACAACAATCCACCTTCAAACCCTGCCCAAGGTATTTATAGGACTGGAGATCATTCAACTTACTTTCCACATTGATCTTGGCTTGGGTCTTGTCATCAGGACTCTCACAGCAGTAGAAGCCCCTGTCCGCAAAGGAGATGTCTTTAACCACCAAAGTATGCTTTGTTCCCTCAGCTTTGATCTCTATTTTTTCACTGGGCTTCAATACGATGCTGTTCCTCATCCATTTCACCTCTGCAGGCTTGGTCAGTTCTACCTCCAAGGTCACTGTGTCCCTCTCTTCAACTGTTCTGGGTTCCAGTTTCTTCTTGAATGAGATTGAGGCCTCTGCCAAAGGAGAAAAAATGTTAGTAAGAATGTAGAGAATCTGGAAAACAGGCTTTCAGAGAGCATTTAAATGGTCACTCATGGATCTCCAAGTCCCAGTGCATTCTGGGCACCTGTATTTAATGATGAGAAAGCAGGATTTCCCTACTGCTAGGAGTCAAAGCACAGCCACATGAAACAACATGGGTCATAGCATCAGTGGCAGCCTATCCAAGGGGTTTTACTGCTTCTTACCTCTGACTCTGAGATTGGCTGTGCTTTCTACACCCTCAGCATTGGCAGAGATTTCAGCTGCATCTTCCAGCGTCAGATCAGTGATGGTGAGGCTGTGGTTGTTGTCCTTCTGCGAGATCACATACTTCTTGCTGGCTTCAATCTTGACACCATTCCTGAGCCAAGTGACCACAGCATCTCTGGGAGAGACGGTGCACTTGAACACAGCCTCTTTTCCCTCCTCAGAGACCACGCTGTTGAGACTCATAGTGAATTTCACCACTCTGGGAGCTGATGGATAGAAATAAAACACTTAGGAGCATGTTTTCTGAGACATGGCATGAGCACATCCAAAGAGCCAAAAGATTCAACGATTTTATCAGAAGCATCAATTTTTATTATTTATAATAAGTGATCACAATAATGGATCATCGTATTTCTCATCTCTAAGTTTTGTATACAAAGATGCCAGAAGAGCGAAGCAAACAAAGGAGGAGGAAAATTCCTCTTAGATTTGGCATACTTGATTCCAGCCTCAAATGCAATGTGAGATATTAAGAGACCTAAGCTCAACAGGTCTCAAAATCATGATGTTCTTCACAAACAGAGGTGCCAGTGACATTCAGAGAGAGGAAGTGGAGTTTTGTATTTTTTTGTCCAAACAGGAGACCTCACAAACACATGAACAAACTCAGCTTTGCAGGGCTGTTATGGCTGAGGACAAAACCCAAGGAAGCCCTCTACGTGGTCACCATTAGAGACATACCTTTGGGGGTGATGGTAACGCTGCTTTTATCATCTCTGGACTCGCAGGAATACTCTCCCTCATCCTCAGCCCGGATCCCTGTTATGGTCAGGGTTCGTTTGACCCCTTCCTCATGAATCTGGAAACGCTTGCTGGGCTTGATCTCAACTCCATTCCTGCGCCACACCACCTTCCCTTTGGCGTGGCTCACGTCGCAGGTCAAAGAGACGCTGCCTCCGATCTCGGCATTAACAGCTTCAAGTTTTTTAGCAAACTTCACTGGGATTTCTGAGAGGCAGAAGATGAAAAAATTATAAGAAAGAGAAAGATAATAAACTTGTTCTAAGAAAATAGTTCTGGAAAACTTTAAAAATAATAATGGTAATTAAATGAAAGGAAAAAACAACCCCAGAATTTGTTTGAGGACCAGGGTAGAGAGAAGCAAACCAGAAAGGTGGAAATTTAGGAAGATTCCTCTGATACAGTATTTTAATATCACTGTCATTCCGTAAAGCAAGAACAGTGTTTTAAAACATGATTGGGTATTGCCTTCCATTTGTTCTCATCTTTTGTGTGATGAGACCGTGTGGTGTTTTAACATCGGAGCCTGTTTTTTCTAAGTATAAAAATCTGTACGGATACATAAGCCACCTTTATCTCTTTTTTGATTGAAGACAGTGAATGCAGTCTGAGAAATCCACGGTGTGATTTCTTTCATCCTGAAGGAGACACTTCAATAGGTCAGATGTATCATGACCTACTAGCAACCACTCTTCTCTAACAACTCCAAAGGGAGCTCAGTGGGTGCACCTCAGGTGCACATCTCTAGTGTGGGTGTCTGAAGAGAAAGGACCAGGGCTTTACTCTGGGACATCACTCCATCATCTCCATCTGTGGACTAACTGCACTTCATCCTTCTTGTCAATTTATAGCCTTAGCCTTGACTAGGCAACAGCACCATCCCAGGAACAGAAGAGGATACCAGACAGGTCCTGTTTCCCCACAGAACTAACTCACAAACCTTTTTATCACTCAACATTCCTCTACATCCTCAGCAGCTTTGTCATGCTGATGAGCAGCCTGGGGAAGAGCTGAGGTTCTTCTCCCCCGAGTGGCCAGCAAAAGACAAAAATTGGGTATTTGGAAGCAGAAGAATTTCGTTGCCCCATAGTGGGGCAGCCACAGTAACTTGCAACAGCAATTTAAGCCTTGAGGTTGGAACAGTTTTAGAGTTTAGACTTCACCTTCATCCTACTGTGAGGGAAACGTAGCTGTTGGGTTGGGACACGGTGTGTGTGCTGTGCTCTCCTTACCTTTCACCTGTACTTTGAATTCCTGCTTGTCGTTCTTTGTCTGGCAAGTGTACACAGCGGTGTCTGTGCTCTCAGCCAGCTTCACCGTCAGGGTCCTGGATGCCCCCTCACTCTTAATCTCATATTTCTTGCTCGCTTTGATTTCTGTTCCATCCTTGAACCACTTTACGGCAGCAGTTTCAGGCGTTACTGAAGTAGTCAGTGTGATGCTTTCATGTTCTTGAACAATGAGAGGCTCTTTCTGGACAACTCTTCATAAAGTTTTTAAAAGAAGTTAAACATATCAATGAAGAAAATTTGCTAAGGAAAACCAAACACAAGCCTATAATCTCTCGTGCCACTATAAACCTGTCTCATTCACATGCTTCTCTGCATGCTCTCCTCTGACACGTTTTTTTGTGTGTCCAGGCTGTATCAGCCACAGGGACCTCAGCCACGTTTTATCAAGGAGATGCCTTTTCTTCAGACTTCCCTGAATTCAGTATAATCCCCTACCTCTGCAACTTATGTCAGAACTGACCCATATTTCTGTGCTACTGCAGCCTTTTCCTTTTGAAAGGAATGGCCTTGGTACACCTTGGATCAGCCCCAGGAGCAGAGCTCAGATGCAAACCAGCCAGCATTCAAACAGAAACCCATCCCAATCACAAAGTCAGGAAGGAAAAGGGGAGCTCAACACAGCAATGGAACAGGACAGATGTTCATGAAGATATTGCTGAACCCAAGTGGCCACAGGAGGACAGCATCCAGTAAGCAATAAGAAAGAGCTGATCTGTCTTTTCAGATGTCCCTCTGGACAATAACATCTGCCAGGGCACAGCAGACCATTCAGTAACTGGCCTTCAGCACTAGCTCATCTCTGGTGCTTCAGAGCCTGGTGACAAAATACATCTGTCGCTTGACCAGTTGCACAGTTCAACGCACAGAAGGAAAAGCTGCCTTGAGCATGAAGGAGAAATGCAGTCAGAAAGCACTTTCCTTAGCATTTACAACGTAAAAACTAGGAAACTTCTTGAGATCATACTCAGGGCTTGTCCAGTCCCTGTTCAGGCAAAGTCCTCCCATAACAGTGGCAGAAGCTAAACCAAACCACGTCACCACCATCCACTGTATCCCTGCTTTGTGTCAGGCTGTCCACTATTTGCCAACTTGTGAATCTAGAAACACCATTTAAATTCCAGAGACCAGAAACCACTTATGATAAATGGAAAACCAAGATAGCACATCTTCCAAAAATACTCCTCTAAGGATAGAGCAAGCACAGGGCAGCTCTGCAAGCACCTTCTCACTAGGAAGAGAAACTTATCCAAAATAAGTAACTGAGAAATACACAAAATGTCCATGAAGTATTTTATGCCAATATGGCAGTAGATGTAATTTCCTACTTCAGTCAAACATACCGTGAACCTTTAGGGTAGCTGATGTCTTGTCTTCAGCTGCTTCACACGTATATGTTCCCTGGTCTTCATATTCACACTTGTGAATAATGAGGCTTCTCTTGTTTCCTTGGGAAATAATCCCCACTGTCTTACTTTGCCGGAGCTCTTTCCCATCCTAGAAGAGAAATGGCCAAACCAGGTCATCATCAACTCTTCCACATCTGCAGCGAGCGAAACAAACAGTCAGGTGTTTAATTCATCCATCTCATTGGACTTAATGGAACTGTGCTTACTGGAACATCTGCTGAAACTTAAGCCCAGTGGAAAGCTGACAAGAAGTAGGAAAGGCTGAAGAAGACGCATAATTATTGGTTGACTTTAGACACCTATTTGAAGGCTTAAAGCACTGTACAGGGTTGGCAATAAACCCCTTCAGACATTACCTTGAAGAAATGCCGTTATCCTTTTTTAAGGGAAGTATCGGCTGAGCCCCAGAGAAGGTTCATGAAATGCCTGAGCAGATCCCCAATATGGTCAAGTAAAAGAACATAAGCAAAAAGGAGCTACATAGTAAAGGTTCAGACTCACATCCCCTGGAAGTGAAATTAAAGGCTCTCATTCCCTTTCAGAGAAGTCAGAAATTAAGATAGCGCTATCCATTAAGTGCTGTACCTTGAACCACTTAACATCCACATTGGGCCTGGACAGCTCACACTCGAATGTGACCTTTTCTTTCTGTGTTACATTGATGTCTACCAAAGGCTTGCTGATTTTCACAGGCAATTCTGCAAAAAAAAGAATAAAAAAAGAAAAAAAAAAAGAGAGAGAGAAAGTCCAGTTAGTGGGGAATTAGGTCTCCAGGACCATCTGGCACAAGCAATAATGACTAGGCAGAGCCTGGCTTCCATGCTTAGCAAAACTTGTGACAACAAAATTGTATTCTTTTGAGCACATTATCATGATTTGTTCTGTGGACAATGATGTTAAAATAATCCTGTTGACATTAGAAGGACACGTTACTGATGACGGTCCAGTGCTTAACATCCCTCAGAGTTACAAGGAAAGCTTGTTGCACTGCTAGAAGCTCACTCTCTGGGTCAGGAGAAGACAACCATGTCCCACACCAACCAGGGCCTGAGACTTCTGGGCTTTTGTACCTGTCACTGTGAGCTTCCCTGATGAATGAATTCCCTCTGCTTTGAAGGAGACGAGTCCTGCATCTTCAAGAGTCACCGAAGAAAGAGTCAGTGAATGTTTCTTGCCCAGGACACCAATATTGATATTCGGTGCAGGCTTCAGCCGAATGCCATCCTTCTGCCAGGTCCCTTCCACGTCCTCATGAGATACTTCCACCTCAAAGGTGACGGTTCCTTTCTCAGAGACTTCAAGGGGCTGAAGACCTTTCACCAGCTTGATCTGCCTCACTGAAAAAACAATAAGGACAAGTTGGAGATCTCACACCAACAGCTGTGAAACAGCCTGAGGACTTCCAAAATAGATTATTTCCCTATTCCTCATGCAGGTACTTGCCAATTAATTGATACATACATACATACATAATTGATACATACATACATACATACATAATTGATACATACAACAACCACTTTTGCAGGAAACAAAAACTTTTCAGTTGGGACAAATAAGTCAGCCAGGCATTGCAGAAAAAGGGGAAATTGTCCCCATGGCAAGTGGAGGTGGAAGTGGCCATTATGATAATGGCAGAGACAACAATCCACCTTCAAACCCTGCCCAAGGTATTTATAGGACTGGAGATCATTCAACTTACTTTCCACATTGATCTTGGCTTGGGTCTTGTCATCAGGACTCTCACAGCAGTAGAAGCCCCTGTCCGCAAAGGAGATGTCTTTAACCACCAAAGTATGCTTTGTTCCCTCAGCTTTGATCTCTATTTTTTCACTGGGCTTCAATACGATGCTGTTCCTCATCCATTTCACCTCTGCAGGCTTGGTCAGTTCTACCTCCAAGGTCACTGTGTCCCTCTCTTCAACTGTTCTGGGTTCCAGTTTCTTCTTGAATGAGATTGAGGCCTCTGCCAAAGGAGAAAAAATGTTAGTAAGAATGTAGAGAATCTGGAAAACAGGCTTTCAGAGAGCATTTAAATGGTCACTCATGGATCTCCAAGTCCCAGTGCATTCTGGGCACCTGTATTTAATGATGAGAAAGCAGGATTTCCCTACTGCTAGGAGTCAAAGCACAGCCACATGAAACAACATGGGTCATAGCATCAGTGGCAGCCTATCCAAGGGGTTTTACTGCTTCTTACCTCTGACTCTGAGATTGGCTGTGCTTTCTACACCCTCAGCATTGGCAGAGATTTCAGCTGCATCTTCCAGCGTCAGATCAGTGATGGTGAGGCTGTGGTTGTTGTCCTTCTGCGAGATCACATACTTCTTGCTGGCTTCAATCTTGACACCATTCCTGAGCCAAGTGACCACAGCATCTCTGGGAGAGACGGTGCACTTGAACACAGCCTCTTTTCCCTCCTCAGAGACCACGCTGTTGAGACTCATAGTGAATTTCACCACTCTGGGAGCTGATGGATAGAAATAAAACACTTAGGAGCATGTTTTCTGAGACATGGCATGAGTACCTCCAAAGAGCCAAAAGATGCATCGATTTTATCAGAAACATCAATTTTTATTACTTACAATAAGTGATCACAATAACGGATCATTGTATTTCCCATCTCTAAGTTTTGTACATAAAGATGCCAGAAGAGCGAAGCAAACAAAGGAGGAGGAAAATTCCTCTTAGATTTGGCATACTTGATTCCAGCCTCAAATGCAATGTGAGATATTAAGAGACCTAAGCTCAACAGGTCTCAAAATCATGATGTTCTTCACAAACAGAGGTGCCAGTGACATTCAGAGAGAGGAAGTGGAGTTTTGTATTTTTTTGTCCAAACAGGAGACCTCACAAACACATGAACAAACTCAGCTTTGCAGGGCTGTTATGGCTGAGGACAAAACCCAAGGAAGCCCTCTACGTGGTCACCATTAGAGACATACCTTTGGGGGTGATGGTAACGCTGCTTTTATCATCTCTGGACTCGCAGGAATACTCTCCCTCATCCTCAGCCCGGATCCCTGTTATGGTCAGGGTTCGTTTGACCCCTTCCTCATGAATCTGGAAACGCTTGCTGGGCTTGATCTCAACTCCATTCCTGCGCCACACCACCTTCCCTTTGGCGTGGCTCACGTCGCAGGTCAAAGAGACGCTGCCTCCGATCTCGGCATTAACAGCTTCAAGTTTTTTAGCAAACTTCACTGGGATTTCTGAGAGGCAGAAGATGAAAAAATTATAAGAAAGAGAAAGATAATAAACTTGTTCTAAGAAAATAGTTCTGGAAAACTTTAAAAATAATAATGGTAATTAAATGAAAGGAAAAAACAACCCCAGAATTTGTTTGAGGACCAGGGTAGAGAGAAGCAAACCAGAAAGGTGGAAATTTAGGAAGATTCCTCTGATACAGTATTTTAATATCACTGTCATTCCGTAAAGCAAGAACAGTGTTTTAAAACATGATTGGGTATTGCCTTCCATTTGTTCTCATCTTTTGTGTGATGAGACCGTGTGGTGTTTTAACATCGGAGCCTGTTTTTTCTAAGTATAAAAATCTGTACGGATACATAAGCCACCTTTATCTCTTTTTTGATTGAAGACAGTGAATGCAGTCTGAGAAATCCACGGTGTGATTTCTTTCATCCTGAAGGAGACACTTCAATAGGTCAGATGTATCATGACCTACTAGCAACCACTCTTCTCTAACAACTCCAAAGGGAGCTCAGTGGGTGCACCTCAGGTGCACATCTCTAGTGTGGGTGTCTGAAGAGAAAGGACCAGGGCTTTACTCTGGGACATCACTCCATCATCTCCATCTGTGGACTAACTGCACTTCATCCTTCTTGTCAATTTATAGCCTTAGCCTTGACTAGGCAACAGCACCATCCCAGGAACAGAAGAGGATACCAGACAGGTCCTGTTTCCCCACAGAACTAACTCACAAACCTTTTTATCACTCAACATTCCTCTACATCCTCAGCAGCTTTGTCATGCTGATGAGCAGCCTGGGGAAGAGCTGAGGTTCTTCTCCCCCGAGTGGCCAGCAAAAGACAAAAATTGGGTATTCGGAAGCAGAAGAATTTCGTTGCCCCATAGTGGGGCAGCCACAGTAACTTGCAACAGCAATTTAAGCCTTGAGGTTGGAACAGTTTTAGAGTTTAGACTTCACCTTCATCCTACTGTGAGGGAAACGTAGCTGTTGGGTTGGGACACGGTGTGTGTGCTGCGCTCTGCTCACCTTTCACCTGTACTTTGAATTCCTGCTTGTCGTTCTTTGTCTGGCAAGTGTACACAGCGGTGTCTGTGCTCTCAGCCAGCTTCACCGTCAGGGTCCTGGATGCCCCCTCACTCTTAATCTCATATTTCTTGCTCGCTTTGATTTCTGTTCCATCCTTGAACCACTTTACGGCAGCAGTTTCAGGCGTTACTGAAGTAGTCAGTGTGATGCTTTCATGTTCTTGAACAATGAGAGGCTCTTTCTGGACAACTTTCTTTTCAAATTTAGCCTCTGGTTCTAGAAAAGACATTAAAATAGGCAAACTAATAATAATCAAATCCCTTAACACAGCAACTTTCTATTGCTCTCGCTTCATGACTCATATCACCAGCTCATCCATAATCTGCAATGACCCAGGGAATGTGGCTGAATATTTGTGCCTGGTGTAATCTTTTGCTGAGCAGGAAGAATGAACATGATCTGTCAGGTAACCCAGAACTTCTGCTTAGAGGAGAAGCAAAGGAAAGAAAATGCAAATATATATTAGGTGCTGCCCACAAAAAAAAAAAACACCCACTCATTTTTAGAAGTAAAATTACCTGTATAATTCTTTCCTCTCCCATTTTTAGGATTTTAGATGAAATTAAGAAGAAATGTTAGTACAGTAAACCTTTTTTCTTTTTTCTGTTACCTTTTTTCTTTTTTCTGTTTCCTTTTTTCTTTTGTTTGCTCTACTACCTCCCCCTTGGCCTTTTCTCTATCTTGTACAGCACTTTGCCCCAAAACTGCCCAGCTTTTCTTAGCGACCGTTCTCCACAGCTCTACTGATGCTTTTCAAGTCTTCCCACCTCTACTTTCAGCTCCCCACCACTGAAACAGGTTGGTTGATGGGGTGTGCGAAAGAGATAAGCAAAAAAACTACACAGCATTTCCCTAGCCAAAAAAACTCTTCAGCCAGACTTCCCACCTCTACTCTGCTAGATTAAAAAGGCCAAATTAATGTGTGATGTGGTTCACTGACGTTTCTCCAGGGGAAATAGTAGCTGCACAATGGCCACTGGGTAGGGAGTATCCAGCTTTCCTCTAAGCCACACAGATTCCTCTTTAGATCCTCAAAATGAGTACTCACCAGTGGGTTCCAACTTGAAGGTCAGCTTCTGGCCTGCAGCCTCACAGGTGTATTCTCCAGCATCTTTCTTCTCCAGCTGCTCTATAACCAGGCGCCGGGTTTTGCCCACAGTTTCTATTTTGAATTTTCTAGAGGAAACGAGGAGTCTTCCATCCTTGTACCATTTCACTTCGGTTGCGTCCTGTGCTACCTCACAGCTGAGGGTGGCACTTTCTGTCAGGACAGCGTTCACCTCCTTCTGGACTTTTTCCTGGTTTATAAATGCAGGTTTGGGCTCTGAATGCAGAAAAGGAAGAAAATATGGATTGAGGGATTAAAAGGAGATCAGTCTTACAGGCTTCTCTGCAGACGTTTGGAAAATATTTAGGTTGCCACTTGCCAAAACTGATTGCCTTCACTGGGCAATATCTACCTTTCTGTGTGATCGAATCACAATTTGGAAACTAGGGAAGCAAGAGCCTAGGAATGGAGAGGACCACGAAGTTCCTTGACATCAGTGTTACGGTTGCAAGCCACCATGCAAAAAACATTTAATTCTGATCTTCTCCTGCATTTCACCAGAAGCTCACAAATTCCTTTTACTTAGGACCTATAGTGAAACGTGAAGGTCATGTGAAGGTCACAAATATAACACTATGGGCTTCTGGGTCTCTTCCACTGTCACAAACATGACTTTCAAAGGGACAAAGGAATTACAATCTCCCTCTAGTGCTCAGGGAGGCCAGAATCATGGCTGGCAAGGTACGCAAGGCTTTTTGCAGAGCCAACACTCCCTTCAGAACATGCTTAAAGTTCATTGGGCACCTTGTGAATCCTGTTCCAAAAGACTGATTGCTGGGAATCTTTCCTGGCAAAGGGACATTTAGCACCTGGCAAAAGAGTTAAGGCATCTCAGAAGGCTGAGATGGCAAACATGCAACAGCACAAATTCAGAAAAAGGGCTGAGTTTTCAACCTATCTTGATGAGTGTCAATGCCAAAATTGTAAATGTCAAAGCATTTTCCAGCCTCTTGATTTTCAGAAATGGGATTGTAAGTCTAAAAACAAATGGGTTTTTGAATGGCTCCTTCCTTTCAAGAGGTTCAGCGCACAACAATTAACCTTTGGGATCCCAGAAACAGGAGGTATCTGAATAATATATTGATAATTATTTTTATTATATTTATATCTGCAATATTATATCCACAGAATAAAAATGAGATGGGTCTTTGTGCTGTGCTAGAGCCAAATATTCCCATTTCTACAAGTCCAGGCAAGCAGATACAGAAAATCAGGTGAACTCTACAGGATGCAACAAAGCCAGACTATTACAACAGAGTCTTTCTATAACAGTTATTAAAAATATTACTTTATGATATTCTACTGTAAGTCAAGAGGTGTCTCACCTGTGACATCAATCTTGAAGGTCAGTTTCTGGCCAGCAGCCTCACAGGTGTACTCCCCAGCATCCTTCTTCTCCACCTGACCCACCACCAGCCGACGCGATTTGCCCTCCGACTCCACCTTGAACTTCTTGCTCGAGGTGATCAGCTTCCCCTCCTTGAACCATTTGACATCGGTCTTCTCCTGGGCCACCTCACAGCTCAGTGTGACATTTTCTGATAGTGCAGCTTTCACCTCTTTCTGCACCTTTTCCTTGTTGGTAAACACAACTTCTGGCTCTGTAAAGAAGGAGAATTTTAGAATGCCTCCAAAATATGACATTACCCAATCCCCTTATCATGGCGTACAGGTAACACACAAAACCAAGTCTTTGACTTGACAATACACATCTAAATCTACTGGTAGAACATTCAACCAGCTTTGTGGTGAATTTTTGTGGTTTGTTTTGGGTTTTGCATGCAGACCTTAGGCAAATCCTACCAGTCTTCACCATGACTCTGCTCTGAAATTCACTGAGAAGCAGAGGCATTACTAAGTTTGTTCTGGTTGCACCAACGTGTGAAGATGGACATGTGGAACCACTACTTTCCTATTTGTGGGCCTGTTCTTACAGAGGTGGGTGTCTCCCAAAGTTTTTCAAGGATGCAGCTCCCTGTTTTCAGGGGTTTATAATGTTTTACATAAATGATATAACAATATTCATTTTTCCAGATATTCCAGAAATAGGAATGCTGGGAGAAAGAATCTTCTCTCACCTGTGACATCAATCTTGAAGGTCAGTTTCTGGCCAGCAGCCTCACAGGTGTACTCCCCAGCATCTTTCTTCTCCACCTGACCCACCACCAGCTGACGAGATTTGCCCTCTGACTCCACCTTGAACTTCTTGCTCGAGGTGATCAGTTTGCCCTCCTTGTACCATTTCACATCGGTCTTCTCCTGGGCCACCTCGCAGCTCAGTGTGACGTTTTCTGATAGTGCAGCTTTCACTTCTTTCTGCACCTTTTCCTTGTTGGTAAACACAACTTCTGGCTCTGTAAAGTAAGAGAATTTTAGAATGTCTCCAAAATATGATGTTACCCAATCCCCTTATCATGGCGTACAGGTAACACACAAAACCAAGCCACTGACTTGACAATACACATCTAAATCTACTGGTAGAACATTCAACCAGCTTTGTGGTGAGTTTTTGTGGTTTGTTTTGGGTTTTGCATGCAGACCTTAGGCAAATCCTACCAGTCTTCCCCATGACTCTGCTCTGAAATTCACTGAGAAGCAGAGGCATTACTAAGTTTGTTCTGGTTGCACCAACGTGTGAAGATGGAGATGTGGAACCACTACTTTCCTATTTGTGGGCCTGTTCCTACAGAGGTGGGTGTCTCCCAAAGTTTTTCAAGGATGCAGCTCCCTGTTTTCAGGGGTTTATAATGTTTTACATAAATGATATAACAATATTCATTTTTCCAGATATTCCAGAAATAGGAATGCTGGGAGAAAGAATCTTCTCTCACCTGTGACATCAATCTTGAAGGTCAGTTTCTGGCCAGCAGCCTCACAGGTGTACTCCCCAGCATCTTTCTTCTCCACCTGACCCACCACCAGCTGACGAGATTTGCCCTCTGACTCCACCTTGAACTTCTTGCTCGAGGTGATCAGTTTGCCCTCCTTGTACCATTTCACATCGGTCTTCTCCTGGGCCACCTCGCAGCTCAGTGTGACGTTTTCTGATAGTGCAGCTTTCACTTCTTTCTGCACCTTTTCCTTGTTGGTAAACACAACTTCTGGCTCTGTAAAGTAAGAGAATTTCAGAGGGTCTCCAAGGTATGGTGTTACCCAATTCCCTTATCATGGCTTATAGGTAACACACAAAACCAAGTCTTTGACTTGACAATACACATCTAAATCTACTGGTAGAACATTCAACCAGCTTTGTGGTGAATTTTTGTGGTTTGTTTTGGGTTTTGCATGCAGACTGTAGGCAAACCCTACCACTGGGGTTCTGAAATTCACTGAGAAGCAGAGCCATTGTTGAGTTGTTCTGGTTGCACCAACATGTGAGGATGGAGATGTGGAATCTCTACTTTCCTATTTGTGGCCCTGTTCCTACAGTGATAGTGACTCCCAAAGTTTTTCAAGGATGCAGCTCCCTGTTTTCGGGGGTTTATAATGTTTTACATGAAATACATAATAATATTCATTTTGCTAGATATTCCAGAAATAAAAATGCTGGGATAAAGAATCTTCTCTCACCTGTGACATCAATCTTGAAGGTCAGTTTCTGGCCAGCAGCCTCACAGGTGTACTCCCCAGCATCCTTCTTCTCCACCTGACCCACCACCAGCCGACGCGATTTGCCCTCCGACTCCACCTTGAACTTCTTGCTCGAGGTGATCAGTTTGCCCTCCTTGTACCATTTCACATCGGTCTTCTCCTGGGCCACCTCGCAGCTCAGTGTGACGTTTTCTGATAGTGCAGCTTTCACTTCTTTCTGCACCTTTTCCTTGTTGGTAAACACAACTTCTGGCTCTGTAAAGTAAGAGAATTTCAGAGGGTCTCCAAGGTATGGTGTTACCCAATTCCCTTATCATGGCTTATAGGTAACACACAAAACCAAGCCACTGACTTGACAATACACATCTAAATCTACTGGTAGAACATTAAACCTGCTTTGTGGTGAGTTTTTGTGGTTTGTTTTGGGTTTTGCATGCAAACTGTAGGCAAACCCTACCACTGGGGATCTGAAATTCACTGAGAAGCAGAGGCATTGCTGAGTTGTTCTAGTTGCACCAACATGTGAGGATGGAGATGTGGAATCACTACTTTCCTATTTGTGGCCCTGTTCCTACAGTGATAGTGACTCCCAAAGTTTTTCAAGGATGCAGCTCCCTGTTTTCGGGGGTTTATAATGTTTTACATGAAATACATAATAATATTCATTTTGCTAGATATTCCAGAAATAAAAATGCTGGGATAAAGAATCTTCTCTCACCTGTGACATCAATCTTGAAGGTCAGTTTCTGGCCAGCAGCCTCACAGGTGTACTCCCCAGCATCCTTCTTCTCCACCTGACCCACCACCAGCCGACGAGATTTGCCCTCCGACTCCACCTTGAACTTCTTGCTCGAGGTGATCAGTTTCCCCTCCTTGAACCATTTGACATCGGTCTTCTCCTGGGCCACCTCACAGCTCAGTGTGACATTTTCTGATAGTGCAGCTTTCACCTCTTTCTGCACCTTTTCCTTGTTGGTAAACACAACTTCTGGCTCTGTAAAGAAGGAGAATTTTAGAATGCCTCCAAAATATGACATTACCCAATCCCCTTATCATGGCGTACAGGTAACACACAAAACCAAGTCTTTGACTTGACAATACACATCTAAATCTACTGGTAGAACATTCAACCAGCTTTGTGGTGAATTTTTGTGGTTTGTTTTGGGTTTTGCATGCAGACCTTAGGCAAATCCTACCAGTCTTCACCATGACTCTGCTCTGAAATTCACTGAGAAGCAGAGGCATTACTAAGTTTGTTCTGGTTGCACCAACGTGTGAAGATGGACATGTGGAACCACTACTTTCCTATTTGTGGGCCTGTTCTTACAGAGGTGGGTGTCTCCCAAAGTTTTTCAAGGATGCAGCTCCCTGTTTTCAGGGGTTTATAATGTTTTACATAAATGATATAACAATATTCATTTTTCCAGATATTCCAGAAATAGGAATGCTGGGAGAAAGAATCTTCTCTCACCTGGGACATCAATCTTGAAGGTCAGTTTCTGGCCAGCAGCCTCACAGGTGTACTCCCCAGCATCTTTCTTCTCCACCTGACCCACCACCAGCCGACGCGATTTGCCCTCCGACTCCACCTTGAACTTCTTGCTTGAGGTGATCAGTTTGCCCTCCTTGTACCATTTGACATCGGTCTTCTCCTGGGCCACCTCACAGCTCAGCGTGGCGTTTTCTGATAGTGCAGCTTTTACCTCTTTCTGCACCTTTTCCTTGTTGGTAAACACAACTTCTGGCTCTGTAAAGTAAGAGAATTTTAGAATGTCTCCAAAATATGATGTTACCCAATCCCCTTATCATGGCGTACAGGTAACACACAAAACCAAGCCACTGACTTGACAATACACATCTAAATCTACTGGTAGAACATTCAACCAGCTTTGTGGTGAGTTTTTGTGGTTTGTTTTGGGTTTTGCATGCAAACTGTAGGCAAACCCTACCACTGGGGATCTGAAATTCACTGAGAAGCAGAGGCATTGCTGAGTTGTTCTAGTTGCACCAACATGTGAGGATGGAGATGTGGAATCACTACTTTCCTATTTGTGGCCCTGTTCCTACAGAGGTGTGCGGGTAAATTCCAAAGTTTTTCAAGGACGCAGCTCCCTGTTTTCGGGGGTTTAAAATGTTTTACATGAAATACATAATAATATTCATTTTGCTAGATATTCCAGAAATAAAAATGCTGGGATAAAGAATCTTCTCTCACCTGTGACATCAATCTTGAAGGTCAGTTTCTGGCCAGCAGCCTCACAGGTGTACTCCCCAGCATCTTTCTTCTCCACCTGACCCACCACCAGCCGACGAGATTTGCCCTCCGACTCCACCTTGAACTTCTTGCTCGAGGTGATCAGTTTGCCCTCCTTGTACCATTTCACATCGGTCTTCTCCTGGGCCACCTCGCAGCTCAGCGTGACATTTTCTGACAGTGCAGCTTTCACCTCTTTCTGCACCTTTTCCTTGTTGGTAAACACAACTTCTGGTTCTGTAAAGAAGGAGAATTTTAGAATGTCTGCAAAATGTGACATTACCCAATCCCCTTATCATGACTTACAGGTAACACACAAAACCAAGCCTCTGACTCAACAATACACATCTAAAGCTACTGGTAGAACTCAACCAGCTTTGTGGTGAATTTTTGTTGTTTGTTTTGGGTTTTGCACGCAGACCTTAGGTAATGCCTACCAGTCTTCACCATGACCCTGCTCTGAAATTCACTGAGAAGCAGTGGCATTACTAAGTTTGTTCTGGTTGCGCCAACATGTGAGGATGGAGATGTGCAAGCAGTACTTTCCTTTCCATATCCCTGTTCCTACAGAGATGGGTAAATTCCAAAGTTTTTCAAGGATGCAGCTCCCTGTTTTCAGGGGTTTATAATGTTTTACATAAAAGATATAATAATATTCATTTTTCTAGACATTCCAGAAATAGGAATGCTGGGAGAAAGAATCTTCTCTCACCCGTGACATCAGAGCCAGGTCACCTCAATGATGTTCTCCAAAAATTTGAAGCGTAAGAGGAAAAATTCATATGAAGCAATATTCATTATTCTAAATAATCTAGAAGTAGGAAAGCTGGGAGAAAGAATCTTCTCTTACCTGGGACATCAATCTTGAAGGTCAGTTTCTGGCCACCAGCCTCACAGGTGTACTCCCCAGCATCTTTCTTCTCCACCTGACCCACCACCAGCCGACGAGATTTGCCCTCTGACTCCACCTTGAACTTCTTGCTCGAGGTGATCAGTTTGCCCTCCTTGTACCATTTCACATCAGTCTTCTCCTGGGCCACCTCGCAGCTCAGTGTGACATTTTCTGACAGCGCAGCTTTTACCTCCTTCTGCACCTTCTCCTTATTTGTAAACACAATTTCTGGTTCTGAAAAGAGAGAGTGACCCACCACCAGCCGACGCGATTTGCCCTCCGACTCCACCTTGAACTTCTTGCTTGAGGTGATCAGTTTGCCCTCCTTGTACCATTTGACATCGGTCTTCTCCCGGGCCACCTCGCAGCTCAGTGTGACATTTTCTGACAGCGCAGCTTTTACCTCCTTCTGCACCTTTTCCTTGTTGGTAAACACAACTTCTGGCTCTGTAAAGTAAGAGAATTTCAGAGTGTCTCCAAGGTATGATATTACCCAATCCCCTTATCATGGTTTACAGGCAACACTCAAAACCAAGCCTCTAACTCAACAATACATATCTAAATCTATTGGTAGAACATTCAAACTGCTTTGTGGTGAAGTTCTGGGTTTTGTTTTGGGTTTTACATGCAGACCTTTTGCAGACACCCTACCACTCTTCACCATGACCCTGCTCTGAAACTCACTGTGAAGCAGCTACATTGCTGGGTTGTTCTGGTTGCACCAACATGTGAGGATGGAGATGTGCAAGCAGTACTTTCCTTTCCATATCCCTGTTCCTACAGAGATGGGTAAATTCCAAAGTTTTTCAAGGAAGCGACTCCCTGTTTTCAGGGGTTTATAATGTTTTACATAAAAGATATATCATACTATTAATTTTTCTAAGTACTCCAGAAACATGAAGTCTGGGCCACAGAATCTTCTCTCACCTGTGACATCAATCTTGAAGGTCAGTTTCTGGCCAGCAGCCTCACAGGTGTACTCCCCAGCATCCTTCTTCTCCACCCGACCCACCACCAGCCGACGAGATTTGCCCTCCGACTCCACCTTGAACTTCTTGCTCGAGGTGACCAGTTTGCCCTCCTTGTACCATTTGACATCGGTCTTCTCCTGGGCCACCTCGCACCTCAGTGTGGCATTTTCTGATAGTGCAGCTTTCACCTCCTTCTGCACCTTCTCCTTGTTGACAAATGCATCTTCTGCCTCTGGAATTAAGGGTACAGGGGCAAATTTAGAAAATTAATCTTTCAAACATACTCTTCTCAAGCGCACATATTAGTCTTTGGATTGTGGTGCTCAGAATAGATTTCCCATTCCCATTCTCTGCCAACACTCTCAACTGAATTTTAACTTTTAAATAACATCAAGTGCTGGTGAAGAACTCCTTTACTGGTAGTCCAAGATCACTTAGATGCCCCCAAAGCATGTTTCCTTTCCATCACTATCATTCTCCAATATCTACATAAAAAAAGTTCACATATCCCAATGTCCAGTGGATGCAGTCTCTTAGAAGTCTGTTTGCTGTAAGAGGACAAGCATTAAATAGCTCAAACAACACCAGAACTGCAACCTGCTTTGCCAGCAAAAGCAAATCTATTCTTGGTAAATAAACTCCATGTGCCTATTCTGTGTCTATAAATTTATTTCCCAAATGTTCCAAATGTGTGTCGTCCCAGAGCTGTGTTTCTCCAACAAATTAAAAGTATCCAACCCCCACTGTATTTCCTTAGCACTGCACCCTGCCAGAATCAAAAGCAATCTAATATATGAACTCCTCAATTTGCTTTAAATTTATCAAGATCCAAACGAGGGATATCTAAGATAAATCCTGTCTTTGCTAATGTCATTGTGAAGAGACCTGGTTTCTTCAGGTACTGCTTCTGACACTGGTTCTAGTATTTCCTTTCAGTTGGCAGAGGCCATAATGAAAAGGTTTCCTGCATAATCAAGAGATGCTTTATTTAAGGAAGGAGCATTTGCAAGAGAATGCTTGTGCTCAGATTTTCTGAGTCCTTTAACTTGTCCTGCAATTACTGAGCTCTCATTTTGCTATCAATGCATCTCCGCCACATATCCAGGGAAATTCCCCAATAACCTTCAGCCTGCCCTGGTCTTGAGCTATGGAAATCCACAACATTCTTATTTTTCAAAGGGAGACAGATCTAATAGTTTGAACACAACTGCATGAGTAAACCAGCAGAATTTAAATGGGGGCTCCATCCCTGCCTCCTGAGATGGAATTTGCCAAGCCACCGAACTTTTCTCTCCTTCAATTTTTTCAGGATGTAAACGGAGATAGAGCAAATTCACTTACCTGTGACATCAATCTTGAAGGTCAGTTTCTGGCCAGCAGCCTCACAGGTGTATTCCCCAGCATCCTTCTTCTCCACCTGACCCACCACCAGCCGACGCGATTTGCCCTCTGACTCCACCTTGAACTTCTTGCTCGAGGTGATCAGTTTGCCCTCCTTGTACCATTTCACATCGGTCTTCTCCTGGGCCACCTCGCAGCTCAGCGTGGCGTTTTCTGATAGTGCAGCTTTCACCTCTTTCTGCACCTTTTCCTTGTTGACAAAAGCATCTTCTGCCTCTGAAATAGGGAAATATTAAGGAAAAAAAAAAAAAGCATAAGATATAAAGAGCTTTCAACAAGAAGATATTACATGTATTCTGTGTAGGTGCTCTACAAGATCATTTCTTGTAAGTAACATTGCTTTGCAGTTCTTTCTGTCACATAGACTGTTGCACCCTCAAAATACAATCCATATAACACCTGTGACTAGTCTTCACAGACAGCCCCAGCGCCTCATTTTCACATTTCTTATAACGGAGATAAAAATAAATTTCTCCCTTTGTGATGTTTCTACACCTCACATTTAGAACTAACCAAATATACCACAATTATGAGTTGCCACCTCAATTATCACATTATTTACAGGAGTTTGTCAACATCTTGGTATTTTAGATTAAGACTGGGTGTTCAGAAAATACTTTGTAACTCAATCCCAAAGAAATGACAAAGATACACTTCTTAATATGGAAAAGTACTTGGCCTATATTATACATAAAACTGAGCTATAAAATTTGAAATACACTTTTTTTCCCCTCAGAAATCTCTAATTTTTCATAAAACTGGCCATAAGGTATCTTCCCCTAACAAAAGCAACAAGAATGAAGCCTTGAAAGCCATTTCCTTCCACAGAACCACTTAGAACTTCCTTCTCAACAAATGAAGTTGGCATCAAAAGGATATTCAGTCTAATTAGTAATTAGTTATCTGCATTGAAAGCTTAAATTGTCAGCTTGCTAAGTAGGACTGACTGATAAATGGCATCTTTTACCAATTACTTTAATGATTGTTTTACCTGATTCTCCTTTTACCAACAGCTGGTGTGGTCACTGCTAGCTTCTATAATAACATACATTTGAGATGTGGGAGGACAGATAGACCCTAAATAAATGGGCTTCCACTTTTTTCCCACTGATTTACCTTAAGAAATAACCACACAAGAACTGTAAAATATTTCTGGTATGCCTACAGGATTGACATCACATAGCAAGAACCCCCCAGCGTTTAGCACAGGCTGCCTTTGCCTGTTTGGGTCCCAAAACTTGAGCTTTGAAGTCCACAATTTCACTGTTACAGAGGCACAACCTCCAAATATAAACACTGGACTAGCAAGTGTATGGGCTCACCATCACCCTTCAGTTGCAGCACAAGCATGAAAGATAATTCTTTCAACCAGCTTCAGGCATAGGGGTTCCTGGTTAATGTGACCTGGGAGGTCATGGTGAACCCCTTCACACAGCCACATAATGGCAGGGGTTGGAAGGGACCTTCAGAGGTCATCTCCTTCAACCTCCCTGCCAAAGCAGGGACACCCAGAGCAGGCTGGATAGGAACGCATCCAGGTGGGTTTTGAATATTTCCGGAGAACGAGATTGCCACACACTCTCTGGGCAACCTGTTCCAGTTCTCTGGCAGCCTCAAAATAAAGAGGTTTTTCCTTATGTTGAGATAGAATTTCCTGTGTTCCAGTTTGTGTCCATTGCCCTTTGTCTGGTCACTGGGCACCACTGAGAAAAGTCTGCCCCATCCTCTTGACACCTGCCTTTAGATATTGATAAGCATTGCTGAGCTCCCCTCTCAAGTATTCTCCAGGCTGAACAGCCTCAGGTTTCCCAGCCTTTCCTTATCAGAGAGATGGTCCATTCCCTTGATCATCTTTGTAGCCCTCTGTTGGGCTGTCCGGCAGTTCCCTGTCTTTCTTGAACTGGGGAGCCCAGAACTGGACAGAGTACTCCAGATGTGGCCCACCAGGGGAGAGCAGAGGGGAAGGATGACCTCCCTCAACCTGCTGGCCATGCTCTTTTTAATACACCCCAGGAGACCATTGGCCTTCTTGGCTACAAGGGCACATTCAACTTCCATAAGCCATGCTACTGCCTTCCTCCCCCCAGTCACTTCTCTGCAGCCTCCTAATGCCATCCTTTACTCCTCCTTGATAACTTTCTCCTCTGCATACCATCTCTGTCCTGTCTGTACTCTGAGTGGCAACAGCTGCCTGGGAGGACAAGGAGGAGGGGCGAGTTCAGGTCAAGTTCCTTCACTGCTGATCATGGCACTACATGCAATCCTGGGATCCACACCATAGGCTTCCCATCAATATCACACAGTCCAGGAAAGAGAGAGGTCCTACAGGGAGCAAGCCAAAGCAGGAACCCAGCTTACACGCTCTAAATTTGAGCTCCTCTATTTATATTGAGACTAGAAGGTATGTAAGGAGGTGTCATTGTCATCAAGGTGTCATTAACAAGGCAGCGTACATGGCCCATGCTGAGTGATGCAAAACTCCTCAAAAGCACACATCAACCCATTTGCAGATTAAGCAGCAATTTGGGGTCTAAAAGAGCTTAAACACATGCCATGGTTTGCATTCAAAAGTGGTTGCCAAAATTTTAACTTCCATCTACAGCTTGGATCATGAATATGAAGGGTGCTCTAAAAAAATGAGTTACAAACCAGTTTGTGTAAATGGGTGCTGTATTTAGAATTTCAAGTTCGGAGGGCAGGAATATCCCAGGTGCTCGCTTGTCCTCAGCATTCTTGACATTTAATATTAAACATTTTTATAGTAATAGGAAATGGGACCAAACCTCTTAATCAGCCTATGAAGTGATTTACATTGGCCAGGATAGGAAATGGGACCAAACCTCTTAATCAGCTTATGAAGATTTACATTGGCCAGTAATTTGTCTTCAAAATTTATTTTAAAGTTAAACTATCATCCAGATGACATTTCCAATCTCAGCTGCAGTTGGTTAGTGATGTCCCATTCAAACTGGGGAAAACCATTGTCAGGACAGAGAGCTTTGGTCCACTGCAAATAAGGATTTGACTGTATACCATGAATCTTGAAATAACGAGATTGCAGAATCAGCTCAGTTGGCTGCAAGTCTGGCTCAGTCCCAAGGTCTGCAGCACCCATTTCGGTTAATATTAAGTCAAAAAGCCACAGCTGCATCACAATACTCAACACTGAGCATCTAACCTTCAAACTGTCCTTAAATAGGGAAGGTTTTATGCTACCAGCAGAGCCCTGGAGTAGAGGAACCCTGAAAAGCTTTCCGAGTGCAATGGTAACAGGATAAATTAAGACTCAGAAAGCCACTGCACTTTGGGATAATCTAGTAAGATGAGGATTTCTGCAGTGAAAGAGCAAGAGCTCCAAGTACTCATAATCCCTCCTGACTTTCACACTAGATCATATTCCAGTGAGTGCTGGACTTGCATGTCATGATACAGTCGTACACACGAGGAATACAGCAACCGTAGCTAGGCAAGCGCTCTCCGCTTACGACAGAGGGGGAAAGGTGTTACATTACCCCACGCAGCCCTGAAGTCATCCGGTTCGAGAGAGAACTGAAAACCTTTGGTTTCTGAGGCAGGCAGCTAAGAATAGCCCTCAGCTAGAGGAATTCAAGTGTAAAGGCACTAAATATCTGTGCGTTCTGACTACACCTCTGCAGGAATGTATGAACTGACTTGAGCAGCTAAGCATGAACTTGGTTTACACCAATCTGTGCCGTGGTCTATCAATGTCCATGTTGTATTTTCTCTGAAAGACGCCTCTCAAATGTGGCTTTACTGTGATCCATCCTTCATTGAAACTGGCAGCTCCCCGTGTGAAAAGCATGAGCTACAGAATTCATGAAAAAGAGCCAAAGTGCCCCAATTCACACCCTGCATACCCCACGTGGAGTGGGGACACGTAAGAGCTGATGGCTTACAATATATGCTATAGGGAGCAGCAAAGCTTTCTGCCCCAGAAGATGGAGGGAGCAGAAGTGTGGGAGAGCAGTAAAGACTGCAACCTTTACAAGGGAACAGCATGGACTTCACATGGCACAAGGACTTCAGGTCTCCAGCACGGCTGGGAGCAGGAGAGTCCATAGGCTCCCCAGGCAGTTGCTCTCCTACACAGCTGATAAAATGCCCGACCTCTGCCAGCATTACGGTCCCAGTGTGCTTGATGTTGTAAGAAAGCAGAGGAGAAAATAGATTCCCTCTTCTGATTAGCTCAGAATATGAGACAAGCGTAACATTACCAGAGAAGCATTTGGTTGCAAAGACAGCGAAGTGTTATGAATATGAACAACACGAAACCAAACCATTTCTTATCACCCAGTTCAGAAATGATCACTCAGAAATTAGCTGACGTGTCCCTGGCTGCCTAGAGCTAAAATTTACTGGACCTCTTGCAAAATATACTAAAGCCAAAGAAACCTCTAGTGTAGTCACAGTGAAAAAACAGGCTCAGGATTAAATCCTCAGACTCTAAATCATGTTGTTAAGGAGAAAAATGCAAATATAAATAAACATTCCTGGACTCGTGACTGATCATTACAGATGTAGGGCTCGCAATGAATGGTCATCACCTTTGCATCCAGCAGGTCAAAGATACACCTGGTGCAGATGACCTGATATTTTTAGGTCAATGAGTTACCATTAAGTCCCAAACCTTCTAAATGCAGCCACAATAAAGCAGGGCTCACGTAAACACTACTGTTTAAATATTGCTTGGTAGACAAGTATTTGCATCACTTCTCACAGCTCTACAAATGGCAGTTGGGTATCCAATGGCAGCGGCTAATGACAGAAGACCTAGATGAAAGGTTGTTAAATACAAATCATAATTCAAGTTGCACATATCTGTGCCCATTTCTGTTCATCATCCACAAAGGTTTCAGGGTGCATGGGGTTATAAGGCTGTGTCACATATGCGTTTGCACAGCCAGACTGTGGAATAGTTGAAGTAATTCTCTGGTTTAGGAGAGGATATGTAGAGAAAAGATGAAATGAAGAGGGAAAAAAACAGAGACTTCTGTGAATGACAAGCAATAACCAGAAGAGGAATTGCAATACTGATGATCAAACTGGAAGAGGTCCTTTAATACAGTGTCTGCTAAAAAATACCTCTTGATTCACTGTCGGAGCCTAAGGAGCTCAGGGAGTCAAAAGCTGATATCAGGATACCTACAGGTAACCAGTAGAACTACCCAGTCCTACACAACCTCACTGAAATGGTAGCTTGAAGAACTTTCTGATGCTGTCTTGCAACATTTCTAATATTTTGACAGAGAAAACCAGAGAAGACAACCAGACACAAAGAAAAGGCAATGAAATATAAACCAAAATAGGTCTCCCACCTGTGACGACAATCTTGAAGGTCAGTTTCTGGCCAGCAGCCTCACAGGTGTACTCCCCAGCATCTTTCTTCTCCACCTGACCCACCACCAGCCGACGCGATTTGCCCTCCGACTCCACCTTGAACTTCTTGCTCGAGGTGATCAGTTTGCCCTCCTTGTACCATTTCACATCGGTCTTCTCCTGGGCCACCTCGCAGCTCAGCGTGGCATTTTCTGATAGTGCAGCTTTCACCTCTTTCTTCAGTTTGTCCTTGTTGATAAATGCATCCTCTGCTTCTGTAGGGTGGTAGAAGAAATTTAAAAATCAAATGTATGTTCACACTGTCCAAAGGGTTCAAACCCAAATGAAAAATATGACAACTTCCCATAGCTCTGTCATTTTGGAATGGTCTCACCCACGGTAAACAAACACTCAGACAGGACATGGCCCTCTGTATACTCTGAGGACAACACATCAGCCATTCTATCATTTCTGAGCAAAAGATCCAGAGCCTCAGGAGTTCGGCTTCTTCCCATCTCCACAAGAAATCTGACTTTTTCTTCCATAAGGTAATGCACAAAAACCTCCCAATCTCATCTACCACTGGGACCCATATGTAAGCCTTACCCTTTCTAGGTACTTCTTGAGCAGACCTGTTTACCTACTTCTTCCAAACCTATTTTGCCACACGTCTGGGATCTGACCCTACCTTTTCCCATATAAATCACAACAGCATATATAAACTTGTCTATTTTTTCTTTACTCTGAAATCAGAAAACAACAAGGACTGCTGAGTGAGATTTATCTCACAGAGGAAGACTTCTAGCTATAGGAATCTGTATGACAGTGGATGCACGCAAGCTGGTGTCCTGTTCAACCTCACAACTCAATGAACATCCAGGTTACACAGATCCTGGAGCTCAGAGTGATTCATTTTGCTCTGTAGTATGGGGAACTCGTGGACCTTTCTGTGATGAGAATGAACATGTCTCCTACCTGTGACAACAATCTTGAAGGTCAGTTTCTGGCCACCAGCCTCACAGGTGTATTCCCCAGCATCCTTCTTCTCCCCCTGCCCCACCTCCAGCCGACGAGATTTGCCCTCTGACTCCACCTTGAACTTCTTACTCGAGGTGATCAGTTTGCCCTCCTTGTACCATTTCACATCAGTCTTCTCCTGGGCCACCTCACAGCTCAGAGTGGCATTTTGTGTCAGTGCAGCCTTCACCTCCTTTTGTACCTTGTCCTTGTTTGTAAACACATCTTCTGTCTCTGTAAGAAAGCCACAATATTCACAAATAACTTTTTGCAGTTGTCCTCTCTGGTGTTTAATTAAGTTTCTCCATTTTGCTACACTTGCCCCTGACAGGAAGCATCATGATGGCCCATTAAGACAAGAAAGAACCTTAATTTCTATTTTGTTGATTCAAGATGAATAAATGAATTCTAGGATAAAGTGGAAAAAAAAAAAACCTCACCATTTGAGCACAGATTTGAATCTGGGCCTAAAAACACCAACATGTACTGCCTCATCCCTTCTCGCTCTTCTTCTCTTCCTACGTCTCTCCAATCAGAATCATAAGCCCTTGTGTCTTCATATCCAGGAACCTTTGCTCTTTTTCTGCCTATTTGGGTCACTCAAATTCATTCATTCTCCATCTAACCAGAGCTCTTCAAACACCTCCCCCTTCCCTTTTACTTGCCCCTGCACTTCTGCTATGGCCTCGTCCTGTGATTCTGCTGGAGTTTTTCTGCTAATTGTGAGAGATGCAAAAGCTGCCGTCCTTGCCCACCATCTATTTGGCATTACAACTAGTCATGGATGTAAAAGTGTGTGTATAAAATGTTGATAAGAAGGTTGGCTGAAAATCAAAGTCCTATGGCTGAAATATTTCACCCCAAAGAGGCTGTAAGATGGCCCTCCAAATGTAAGATACTACCCAAAATGGACTATTTTTTTATCTTTGGCATTTCTAGCTTTTTCTCACCTCTGACTTTGACTTGGAATGTTATTTTGTCATCCTTCGTTTCACAGGTATAGCTCCCTTGGTCTTGCTGTGTCACCTTCTTGATGATGAGCTTGCGGTGTGTCCCCTGGGAGATGACTGTTGTCCTCTGGTCCTGCTTCACCTCAGTTTGATCCTTCTTCCATACCACTGTTCCACTTGCAGCTGACACCTCACACTCCAGCTCAAGGGTTTCAGAAGGACTGACTGATATTTCTGGAGTTGTTTTGGGCTTGTTGACAAAATTGACAGCTTCATCTGGAAAGAAAAAAGAGAAAGCAATTTATGCCTTGATTCAGGCTTCCCAGCAGAATGTTAAGATATGGTAATGAGTGGTCTTTATTTCATTGCTAATCACACTTGGGTGATCAAGTTTCACCTCTGGAGGCGTAAATGTATGTATGTGTACTTGGTATGACTGCAACGTAACTATAACAGAGTGTTAGTGGTTATGACAAACTGTGGTTATGAGTCAGAAAAGTCCCTCCAGAGACACAGCAACGTTCTCTCTGCTGGGGAACTCATTGTCCAAGTTTTAAATCATCCAGAGAGGTAGTACAAGATGTTCCCCAATTTGGAAGCTGGGTATTGATGAATCCATTATACTATATCAGCCTATTAGGTCTACACTGCGTCACGTATGTCGAGGGAGGTGATTCAACCCCTCTGCTCCACTCTCGTGAGACCCCACTTGGAATACTACGTCCAGTTTTAGAGTCCTCAGCACAGGACAAACATGGACCTGTTGGAATAGGTCCAGAGGAGGCCACAAAAATGATCAGAGGGCTGGATAAATTGCTTTTTGCGGGTATCTTTCACTCTGTGTCGTACAGTCTGGATAGAGCCTGGTTGGCTCTTTTAGACCAATCTTTGAGGTCAGAGACTATGAATTACACTCAAAATGAAATGGAATGATGTTAGATTCTCAGCTGAACACAACAGGAGGCAGGATGCAAGGGTGAATACCTGAACAAACACCAGTTGTAAACTGGAAGCAAACCCTCCAGCTCGGCAAACCCTGTGGCAATCCCTCAAGACCCAGTGCTGTGCTAGATTAATCAGCGCCGATGAGTTTTTAATTAGCTGACGGACAGCATCATAGTAACATGGATGTACTGGTACAGGTGACAAGCACTCAGTTGTTGCTTCTCTTAAATTTCTTTGCACTGCTCCATGTAGACACAACAAGAGAAGCTTTCAGCAGGAGTTTCAATTTGTAAATTAGGACTGGGTTAAAAATTAGGCCTCAGACATAAGCCAGAAACCCACTTTTAGAGGAAAGGTTTCCACCAGGCTATGCAAATTGAATCAGTTGAATTTCACAGATATCAAATTTCACAGATAAATTCTTGTGTCATTTTATCCTCTGGCTCCATCCTGGACTGGAACGCGTCGGTGACAAGCATTTCTGTTCTGGGCTTGACCTGACAGCCACGTGCTTTAGCATGTGCTTTGTGCTGATGGGCATGTGCCACCAAGTAATGGCCTCACTTACAGTACTGCAGGGAGACATCTCAGTGATCACAGCGTCCTTTGGGGACAGCAGGAGAGGCTTAACTCTCAAAAATCAGGACTTGACTTGAACACCTAACAGCATCGTTCTATTATTTGCCCATGTTGTGGACTTGCACAAGGACCAGAAAGTCTCTCAATCAGTGCCGTGCAATCTTGGCCCAAAAATCTGGCAATTTACAAGGTAAGATGAGTATAATGAACAAAATCTTGAGTTTCTAACCCAGATTCTCATCCCGTGCTTGCATCACAAACTTATGGAATCACGGAATTGTCAGAGTTCCCACACTCTTCCGTGTGGTGCATTTTGCACGTGTTGGGCCCATGTTCTTGGCTGGTGCCAAGATGGGACCAACCCCTGTTGGCTGCTTCCTACAGGCCTGGCACATGCTCTTCAGCTGCTGTGGTGTGGCTGCTTAATCCCTCACAAGATTCCCAAGTCCTTTCTCCCAAGTCCTTTTGGGCCTCTCCACTCTCCCTCAGCTTCTCCATCTCCAGGAAGCCCCCTCTCCCTCTTGATCTAGCTCAAGTTTAAAGCCACAGCACTCACCGCTGTCGCTGTCCGTGTGGTCTTACCTGAGACTTTTAGATCAAAAATAAGAGTGTCATCTCCAATTTTGCATGTGTATGTCCCTTCATCTTCTTTCGTCACAGCTGAAGCCACAAGTTTATGCAATTTTCCTTTATCTTCCATGGTGAATTTCTTGCTGGCTGTGATTTCTTTGCCGTCTTTGTACCACTTAACCATGATGTTGGCCTCAGAGGTCTCAGAAACAAATTCCGCTTGTTTTCCAGAGACAGCCCTGATAACGCCTCCAGTTTTCTCTTTGTTTATGAAGTTTGCAAGTGCTGAAACGAAAATTAGACACGCGGGGCTGGTAAAGAATCGTATGGAATCAGTAAATATGCACAATGCTTACATCAGGTATTAATTTTTCATAAGACCAAATATGCATGTTTAGTTATGGATCTAATTAATAGATTCCAGTGCAGAAACAGCCAAAATAGAGCCTATATAAACCCTGTAACTGATTATCATACATCCAAAAACCAGAGCACATATAACACAGGAGTCTGACCCAATGGGAGAGGAAGTTCTAGGCAATAGGGTTTTAAGAAAATATCTAGGAGAGGTGAAGAAAGATATGACACAAGCAAATGGGAGGGAAAGAAATGAAGGTTATTGGAACCACCTGGCAGATAAATCAACTCTAAAAGAGGTTAAAATGTAATCTGGATAAATTAAATTATATTAAATTAAAAATCTATACAGATATCACATAAGACTGAAATGAAAAGAAATTTCTCTCTGGAAAGTAACTGGAGCAGAGAAGGTAAATAATAAATCTGGCACCATATTAACACATAGTGGAATAATTGGATCACCAATTCCCTCAAAGCAAAGATTCAAAAAACCCACCAATATCTTTGCTAAAAATATGAGTCTAAAACAAAGTCTCATTTTACTCTTGATAATGGATTTAATTTTCAAACATCTTCTTAGCCTATTATTTTAAAACAACACGCACAAAATGAAGTTACTTTGTTGGGACGGTGCGGTCAAAGCTACTGAAATCAAAGCCTTGATTATATATGCATTTTTTCCTCCATTTTTAAGAAAATGCTTGCACAATACAAATTAATAGCTCTTGGCAGAATGCCTGGCAAAAGGAATAATTAGCTCTCACTGCTGATACTGCAACAAGCAGTTACTATCCATGGTCTGCACGACTCTCTCAGAGTGTTATCATCGCTCAAAGGTGTCATTATCAGCACTGTGTCCTACTGCCACACATAGGGGTTCTCCTTTAGCTCAAATACCCTGCCCACAAGAATGGATTTCGCATTTAGGATCATAGAATTGTCTAGGTTGAAGGGACCTTTCAGACCATCTGAGTCCAACCATCCACCTAACTCTGACAACTCAGTTTCCTTGCCTTTAAGTACATTAGGTTTCTCTCCAAGTCCCCTACCAGCCTGGTTTTCTAGGGTTTACCAAGACTGCTTATTAGGAGCAATATCTATGGGTAAAGAAATTGTACCAGAAACATTTAAACCAGGAAAAACCTCCTTTTTTAATTACTTTTTTCTTGGGGCCTCTCTTTCCATTTGTTTCTCTAATGACTTATAATGGTAGAGTTTTCCCTTCAGTAGAACTATATCCGACCACCTAAGTCCATGAAGCCTGCAGGGGTCAAACGCTGCCGAGACCTCTCTGTCTCCACCAGCACTACTGGAACTCAGCCCCCAGGTTAAAAGTTTTGGGAGGAAGAAGAAGGAGATGGGTTCACTCGTGCACCTTTCACTTCCCCAGAAAACAAGAGTGTAAAAGACAGAGTGAAGGAGAACTTCTCAGATGTCATGTTTCAATGCAGGAGGTCATGTGTCAGAGGACGCCTGGCACGTGAAGCCTCATGGCAGTGGAGGGACCGCAGTGATAAATGGGCAAGTGTATTTTTGAGCAGGGCTTTTTTGGGCAGGAGTCCCAGCCAGTGACACGCCTCTGGCTGTGGCTCAGCGTGGTGGCCTCTCGGCAGCCAGGTGATGCCCACGTGCCAGAGGCATCTGACCTGCTCATAGAGCAATTCACCAGCTGGACATGGCTGATTCCCAGGTGGAACAGATAAAAGGTGGCGAAGCTGAAAAGTAAAATACTGAAATGACATTCATGAGTCTCATCCTACAAGGATGAGATAGATCGGAGCCGATTCTCCAGGAATCAAGCTATGCTCCAGGAATCAGCAGATGTTTAAGTTACAGCTTGTCAACACAGATTTTAAAATAATACCATTGATTACTCGTTTGATAGTCACATTACACTGAAAAGTAGATGGAAACCTCCATCAGCTAATTCAATTAAATCTGTGGGAAGAGCTGCCAGTGTGAAAAATTATGCTAAAGAGGCAGAGAGAGAAAGAAAAAAAAAAAACAACCAAAATTAAGAACAGCTGCCAAGTGCAGACTGTGAATTCCTCCATCCGTAACTGTAGTCACATTTTGTAATTATTTTTTTCAGCTCTCTTCGTGCCTCTTGAGTTCGCTCTTTGAGAATAACTAAGCAAGCTGTCAGATGCAAACCACACGCATTACTGTGGGGCTTTTGTTGTATCTACAGAGACCAAGGAAGGCTAGAAGCCAGCAGAATGAGATGATGAAGCACCTCATAGGTACTCAGTGTAGAAACACTGAGATCATTGCTGGGAAGAAGGTGAGGGGTGAGTTATGGGACAGAACACAGAAATCAGATGGCTTTACAAAGTGAACTTGCCATTTCAAAGCAGAAAAGCTACAGAGCTCACCCCAGACAATGTCTGACAACGTGCTGGACTGCCCTGGAGTCAGGTTGTATACTCTGAACTTCAGCAAACATCTAGATAATACTCAGGAGGAATGTTCTGGGGCTACACTGGGGGCTTTTCAGCCAAACCCTGGTCCCATCCAAGGCAGAGGAAACTCTCCTTTGAACTAGTTCATAAAAGCTTGCACAGGTGGGAAGGCTTGCCACAAGGACCTTAATGCTGTTGGGTTCAAGACTCCACATCTGGCTCTGGGAGTGGATGTGCCCCCAGGCAGGCAGCAGAAATCGGGAGAGATGGGACTGCCATTCATGGCAGAGAGCAAGAATGGCCAAACGATGGGGTAGCTGTGAAACAGTGCTGGTTCAAATCCAACAAGCAGGAAACATTAAAAGAAAACAACATTTTGCTGCTTGCTCCATACAGCCTTCTACCTGAATACCTTGCAAATAACAATGAGCCAAGCCATCCAACGGGGTCTGTTGTTATTCACCACAGTATTGATAAAAAAGAAACATAAAAAAACCCCAAACAAATAACAAAAAAAATAATAATCCCATAATGCCAAGATGATCTTGGTCCATCAGGACTTTCATCAGAGCTGAACTAGCTCCTCAGTCACTTGTCCAATGTCACATAGCAAGTGCAGGGCAGAACTGAGATGACTTGCATCATGTCCTTCCCCTATGGCTGCATTTCTTCATCACAAGAGCACCTTTTCGTGTCCATCCTCAATCTCATGAAATAACAAGATGACAATTTGTGTGAAAATGCAACTCTTACCACTGAGATGGTGTTAGATCCTGACTTTACTTCCAAATTCTCCTACTCTGGGAGTACAGACACTGACAACACTAGATGCTGATGAGGAGTTACCACAACTCCCTGCACCACCTCTGGAGCACTACCATGATGACTCTACTGGTTTAGGGCAGGAGCAGGCCATTAAAGCAGAGCAGCCCAGGCAGTCACATACCTTTCACTGAAAGCTGATAGACCATCCTATCCCCTTCACAGGTGCACTCATAAACTCCAGCATCCTCTGCTGCAGTGTTGCGGATTTTCAGGATGTGTCTCTTCCCCACTGTTTGAAGTTCATATTTTTCACTGGTCTTGAGCTCTTTCCCGTCCTTCATCCACTTCACAGTAGCCTCTGCATCTGAAAGCTCAGCCTGAAGTTTGGCTTCCTCCCGCAGACGAGCAGAGACCTTTTCTATATCTCTGCTCTTGTTGGTAAATCTCACTGCAGCACCTGTCAGGAACAAAGGCTTTGTTATTTCAAGTTATATCGAGCCAACGTGTCCCTGATAGGAGTCTGTTATGGACTGTGAGATCTTTCAAAAAGTATTAGGTCCTGTTCCTGTCCTCACACTCATGTCAACCCCAAGTAATTTTTTTCTGGTTCAGGAGACTTGATCTCCCCGGGGGGAGGAGGGGGGAAGAAAAAAGCACATCTTTCTACTGATTAATAATATTCTAAACATGCTTCTGCAGAGATTTTCACCCAAAGTCAAACACATCCTTCCAGAATGAATGTCTATGAATTACCTTTTGCCATGCCATGTGGGTAGATACAGGTGTTACTCTAATTTCATAGAGGAAAGATGGAGCACCCAACTCTCAATGGTAAACTGAGTTACATGATACTTTTACATCACACGCATCTATGGTAGACTCAAAGAGATCCAAGGAAAAAACTCTGTGATTAATTAGCACTCCTTTACTTCTGAATGTTTCCACTACAGTCAGAAAGACTAGCCAAATCTGGAGCTGAAATTAGTGCTCTAAGGTGACTGAGTGGTAGATCTGGTGACAGAATTGACTCACTGATGGTTATGAACTACAGAAATCCATGAGCTGATGGAAAGCAGTTCAGGTACCAAGCAGCTGGCTGGATTCACAGATTCACTCTGAACTCTGTGCTATCATCATTAGGTCTTTATTTCCAGGACTCACATCAGTTCATACAACGCAATTTCAGGTACTTCCTACAGTCCAGGCAACAGAGAAAGCCTCCAGCCCCAGTTCTAATCACCAGGTCACAGCAACCACCCCTTAACCAGAATAAAAGACTAGCCAAATCTGGAGCTGAAATTAGTGCTCTAAGGTGACTGAGTGGTAGATCTGGTGACAGAATTGACTCACTGATGGTTATGAACTACAGAAATCCATGAGCTGATGGAAAGCAGTTCAGGTACCAAGCAGCTGGCTGGATTCACAGATTCACTCTGAACTCTGTGCTATCATAGTTAGGTCTCTATTTCCAGGACTCACATTAGTTCATACAACGCAATTTCAGGTACTTCCTACAGTCCAGGCAACAGAGAAAGCCTCCAGCCCCAGTTCTAATCACCAGGTCACAGCAACCACCCCTTGACTGGAACAAGAAAGGACAGCGATGAAAATTAATACCTTTCACTCTCATCTTGGTGCTGGTCTCAACATTGTTGGCAACAAATTTCACTTCTGCTCCATCGTCAGTCTTGGTGACGTTCTTTATGATTAGAGTGTGAGTAGTTTGGGTTCTCTTAATGATGTAGGTCTCACTTTCCTGTAAGACTTTGCCATTAAGGTACCAAGTGCCGGAACATGTAGTCGTGAGGTCAACAGTAAAGAGGGCATCACCTCCAGGTACAGCTTCAACAGTTGTCAGGGGGGTTTTCACAGCCAGGACCGGTTCTGGGGAAGAAGAACATATATCTCTGAGACCGAAGGACAGGAAACCACCACACTGGAGAACAATCCTACCTACGAACATAGTTCTTGAGATAAACAAGATATGAGAATAAAATCCTGCAGCCTCATATAGTATGCATGCACTGAAGGCAATACACAGTTGGTCAACAAGATTTGATTTCTACAGCTGCAGGCAACTGACCTCTGTCATTAGGGCAAGTCCTCTATCCGCAGGGAAAAAACAGGCATATTCTACTGATTTTTTTTCCCTAAGATGCTTAAAGGCATAAAAAGCCTGAAACACTTTGGATCCCCAACAAGGGTGTATTTATTGAATAACCATTATTATTCTTAGATTTCAGAAGGATCCTAAGGAGGCCACCCAGCCTGCTGGTCACTTCTAGGTAATCTAGGAAAACACAGGCATGTTCAGACAGCTAGGGAAAAGGATGACACAATAAAAACACACAGTACGATCAAAGTCTGTGCAGATACTGGCCAGCATAACGAATCAAGGGAAGAAGCAATCCCATTGCACACAATGATTCTATGGAATTGGCACACTAGAAATAAAGAAAAAAAACCCCATATTTCACCTAGTAATGCTAAGATTAAAGAGAGACTCACTGGAACTTGGTTTCCATGATAGCATCATCACCCACAAATGTTTTCTAGGTGGAAGTTTGATATCTCATTTCTATATCGAAAAATTATAAGCCCACCTCAATTTTTTCCTTTCAAATCAGGTCTAGAAGAAGCACCTACAGGCTTAATGCCCATTGCTGAGAGCTCTGCTTCTCACAGAGCCTGGTGTGAGGTATTGGGATATCTCACAGAAACCCAGCCACCATCTCTTTGGTGACGGTCAGCAGTTGAAATGAGACAGGAGAACTAGTGGTGAAGGGAAAAGGATTTTGTTGTGCAATTGCTCTATCCTCCTTAAAGTCACAGGAGACATCTTTAGAGCACCCACGTGGCAGATCAGCACAGACTGACCCATTTTATGATGGCTTTGTGCTCACCAAGGTGCAGGCTCCCCGGGAACTCCAGGTAGGGGCTCTGTCCGTAGGCGTTGACTGCAGACACTCTGAACTGATAGTCGGCCTCTTCCAACAGGTTGCTTATGGTGAACTCTGGGACAGGGACATGAGACTCGTGGCATCTCACCCAGGTGAAGCCAGTCAGTTTCTTGTGTTCCACGATGTAGCCATCGATTGGAATGGGGCGGTCCATCTTTGGAGGGGACCATGCTAGCGTCACTGAGGTTTCTGTTTTATTTTTCACCACAGGGTCAGCTGGGGGATGGGTGGGAGGTTTCTTGGGAGCTGCACGAAGGGAGAACAGAAAAAAAAAGCAGAGCAAGAAGTTTGTCAGAGTGGAAAAGCCACTGTGCCTCACTGAAAAAAAAAAACCTAGAGCTTATGCTGATCTGAACTCTACTCGAGCTTAATGATCATCTGTAAAATATTGATGTGAGCAGAGTAGAGAGGCAGAATCCCCTCCCTCAAAATGAACCACAAATTGCAGATACTCAAGTATTTCTGACTATAGAGGGAGACTGTACGATGAGTCTAGACTAAAAACCAAACTCTGGGACAACTGATCTGCTCTTCGCCTCAGTTTACCCATCTGTAAAATGGGCATAGTAACAACGTGAGATATTGAACAAATATTATATAAACATTGTCTGCCTGGTAAATGCTATCGAAACCACCAACACCAATCTCATCCAGCTAATGGAAAAAGATGCGAACATAGTACTCAGGAGTCTCCAGGCAGTTAATCAGATATGCATGAAGTGTAAAAATAGGAAATCTCCCTGCGATACGCTTTTCCTTCATTACATAAATAGACACGTAAGCGTTTTGGGGTGCACAGTTACCAGCCTGTCAGCTACTGCTGCCCAGATGCCAAAGGTCCCATTAGAGTAGCATTAAGCTGAACACTAGATGCTGGAATCGGATCTCCTGACCTTACCATCAGAAGCCGTAACGTAATATTTTCTTCAGAGATACCTGTTTGTAGGAAGGCAACTTCTCACCTTTTTCTGTTCTGTGAATCAACACTTGCTCCAGAACATAAACAGCAGAGTCCAAAATCAAACTGAACTTTGTCATTCCCATCAAATAGATGCTTGGTTGGACATTAAAGATTTACAAATACCTTCAAAACTGTCACGGTGTTACACTTAACCTCATTTTTTCCTCATTTTTGCTCAATAACATCAAAATGCCCTAACCAAGTTTAGATAACACAGCAGTTTTATTCAAAGATTTCTCTTTACCACAGAGTAATTGCAATTTGGAGGTGATGGTGCTGGAAAAGAAGTGTTATTCTTCCCAAATGGTGACTAGAGTTGGTGACCTGTTCACACGCAAACTGGAACTGCAGCAGAGCCAGCAACCACATGCAGTTCTCTGCCTTTAACGAAGCAGATTTTGCCTAGGAAATGTAATGCCATCAAAATAAAGCATCATAAAGTTAGACAATTCCACCAAAATTTAATTTCAGGTCCAATCTCAACTACACTGCACCTGCTGCTACTGCTCTGTCAGTGGAAACCCTTGCTCAGATCAGATGTGCCAGCTGAAGGAATTCTCTGCATCTTGTATCAGTCTCCCTGAGTAAAGCTAATCAAGATGAAGGTTTCCTCTTTCAGCATAGCTACCATCAGTTCACAGGGTCTTCCCAACTTTTTCATGTCAAATAGAGGGTATGGCTTTGTTGGTCTCCATAAAAGGAAGAAAACTTCATTTCCTCTTTTTCTTGCAGGTGGGTGGGTTTGGTTTTCTTCATATATTTTACTTTAATGCAAACAACTTAAGCAGCTAAAATCAAAGTAAGATGTTTCAAGCTGACTGCCTCTGAAATGCTTCATGTGGGTAGATGTTCCTTCACAGAGATTTTTGTTTGCTAAAATGGAAATACTCTGCCAAGAATGTTTAGGATGCATATCTACTTCCCTATCACAGCCAGCATACCCTCAAGCTACCCTCATGTCTCTGTAGGCTCAAGACCTAGGGAAAGAATAGAGTGCTTGTTGGTTCTCCTCTCCAAATCCTCAGCAAAGAGGGAGAGGGAGAGATGTGGCCTCTATTTGCTAGAAGAGGTATTATTCCCATAACAAGAATTGGTAAATGCCCCTCAAAGAAACACATGATTTTGGAAAATGAAGGTCAGCATGTAGGAACATCCACACCTCTCTATGTACAATGAAGTAAGGCAACTGCAAGGTATGCAACTTACACAATGTTTTCTAAGCACCTTCTGGATGTGAGGAACATCCATGTCCCTAACCCATATTTTACTCAGTTTATGTTCTCTCCAGCATGAAATGAGAATAGCACGGAGAAGACACGGGTTTGTGTCATGCCCTTTCCCCAGGATGACTACTCTTTCTCTGTTTTGACCTGTCCATAACATCTCATAAGGGTAACCTTCAGGCTGCCAGCCTTTTGTGGCAGACATCAAACCTTCTGCTGTCTCTGGACAACAAGCCTACCATGGCAGTACCTAAAACACCACTGGTAACACGGGTTACCTGCTTGCTGGGGAAGACACAAGACGAAGGCCAGATAAAAATGAAACTTACTGGTCACAGTGAACTGGGTAGAAGTCCTGCTTTCATCAGCCAGGAAGGCAATCTCACCAGCATCTTCCATCTTACACTCTCGGATGGTCATGGTATGTTGCTTGCCAGAGCGCGTGATGGTTATTCGATCACTGGGTTTCACTTCTTCTTTGTTTTTCAGCCATCGGACGTTCTGGCATTCATTGTCCAGCTCCACACAGAAGATGGCTGTGTCGTGTACGGAGACCGCAGTCTTTCGTGGAAGTTTTTTAATGATGTTCCCTTTAAATAAGAAAATAAGTATGATCAGCAAATGGCAGATATTAAAGTCTCTGGTAGCAACGTGCCATCCACACCACAACAGGACAAGCCAACAGTTCTCTCCTAGTCAAAACATTGTAGACACTATGCAGACACCCCCAAATTAATTCCTAGGCTCTGCGTTATACAGAACAGATAATCCCAAGGACTCATTTTGGCCTTTAAAGAGAGAAAAGCAATCTTGTTTGACTACAGTTGGTCATAATCCTGGCCTAAGATACCGAGTCTGCTGTTGGGGTAAATACAAGGTAGGTGGCCTTGCCAAGAACAGATTTGACAGTGATATGGCTTTCATTGCCTGCATATGCCTGGAATTCAAATTAAAACTTCGCTAAAGTAGGTCAGTCTTACACCAGACAGGTCTCCCGTCTGTCCTTGGGATTTTGTCTCCATCAAATGACCAGTAAGTTACATAAGCAAGAGGGCAAACACACCAGTCACCTGAATTAATAAAAAATACACTGAAAGCCTCAGATTTCTTTTTAGAGCCAACCCAGAAGTTCACACACAATAAACTTCACTTATGTGTGGTCTTTCCAAGTGACTGTGATGATTTTGACTTATTAGAATAAACTCAAAGCTAGAAGATGTGATTATGCCCAGGAAAGCTTGGACAAAGCATCAGGAGACCACCTTTGTTGACAGATGGGTCCAGCCCTAGAGCAGTCCCCACAAGGCAAAACTGCCCTCACCCTGGCAAAGCACCCAGAGCTGTTTAACGAGAAAGAATGCTGAACTCCTTCATGAAACAGTAGATCAGGCACATATTTGATCAGTACGATTCAAGACTCCGATTCTCTGCTCATTGTCTCCAAAGCTTGGCCACGTGTCTGCTTCCTGCTGTCCTTAGCAGTGTCCCCGTCCCTGCAGCCCTTTGCGTCCTGCCAAGCTCTCGCATTCTCCCAACCCCACCCAGCTCTCGCGAATCTTCTCTCCCCGGGGCAAGAACAGGGCTCCCCCAGGAAGTCTCTGCCTCCTTTCCCTCCTGAGAGCTCCACCTGACTCAGTCACTCTTTTTTTTTTAATGGAACATGCTGTAGTACCATAGCACAAACAAGTAAAACAAATACCAGCTGTCCTACTGGGGCCAAACACACTTAACAATGTTTGGCTGGTCTAGACCTAACAGAAGGTGCAATAAAAAGATGTCTATCTGAAGTCTCCAACATCTCCAGACTAAATTTCCCCTTCTGCCTCCACCCATCTGCGCTTTCAACTCTTTGCTAAGGATACAAAAAGAAATTTGAATGAGGATGCAAGTCACCCAGTCGTTTTGCACCAATTTATGTAGTGAAGCACTTCTGGTTTCACTGGGAGTAAAGTCAGTCTTCAAGTGAGTCAGGACAAGTGGAGTCCTGTAGCTGACAGGTCTCCAATTCATGCAATTGAGACACTTCAATGAAACAAGTATCATAAAAATCAAAACTTCAAGTCCTGGAGTTGCACAAGTTCTTATTCATACAGAAGGTCAGGGAGCTCAGAACCAATGTCCCCCTCTGCAGACATGCCTGTGTCTCTGATGTGCCTGTGTCTGCTGGTTGTGAGACACCTACACCATACCAGGATCTACCACCAACTTGCACGTCAGTCCAAACTGCCGGACTCGGGAGACTTGGGCGTGGATCTCTATCCACATTTTGCCCCTTTCTCATCAGTTTTCCAAACACCAGAGAACAGATCCGGATGTCAGAGATCTAGAGCGTGGATCTGGTTTCCAATCTGAAATCATACCGGTGCTGACCAAAGCCTGCACCACACATCCAACCACAAACCACAGCTGCTAAACCAGCTTCCCAGTGTGGTGAGCACCTCTCTGGGACAAGATTCACTGGACATTAGACAACATCTGTGCAAGACAGAGCTGGGGGACACATCCAACGCATGGGATCATGTTAAAGTCTATAACACTAGCCTACAGTTCAAGAACTTTGCCTTCTAGGAAGCCCCTTTAAGCACAGAGCCCCACGAGGTGACATATCTTGTGCAGCAACACAATCTGTCCCTGCTCTCTGACCTTGTGTCCCAGATATACCCTGGCAGGAGAGCCAGGGACACAGGGACCCACCACATGTGTCTCTCCTCTTGGGAGACTCCAAGGAGTCTGCTGGTCTTCACTGCACACATGCATAGGCTAAATGCCATTCATTAGATCAAGTCTGGAGCCCCATGAGTGAACCTCACACTTTGTAGGTGAGACTTGGCCGATCTGAAATAGCAAGAGCCTTTCCTACCTTGGACAGACAGCTCTGCGATGGTCCTGCTCCCTTCCTTCATCTCACAGATATAGACAGCGTCATCGTCCGCGGTGACGTTCTGGACAGTGAGCCGGCGATACGTGCCCTCTTCTTCGATGTTGTACTTCTTGCTCTGCTTGAGTTTGGTCTCCTCCTTGAACCAAGCTGTCTCTGTGCTGGGAACAGGCACTTCACATTGGAAGGTGGCAGATTCCTTCTCCCTCACTTCAAGATCCTTCAGTTTTTCCTTGAAAGGTATTGAGGGTTCTTAGGAGGATAAAAAAGGAAAGGAGAAACAAGAGTTTATGGTGGTCCGCAATAAGAGATTTGCAAATAAGTCAATAGGAAAAAAATTAACAATAGCACTCCTTATTAAAGTACTGATTTGTCCTGAGCTGCCACCCAAACCCATAATCAAGCCCTGCTACAGTAGGTGTCCTGCACTCATGCAAAAAAAAAAAAACCACAACCCACTTAGATCCCAGCAGAAGTATTTTAAGGACTTCTCTAAAAATGAAGCAGTATCAGCCTGAACTGCAGTCCCTGCCCCACCACACCACACAGAGGATTTTGCTCTAAACCACAGCAACGTGAACAAGTTGGTGGAGCATCAGGTTAATAAATTGTGCTCTTGTGGTCCATGTGTCCTCCGGCATGAACATCTCTGCTCTGCACCCTGTCACTTAGAGACGCCAACAAGAAGAAGGGCAGAGCCCCCAGCCTGGCTCTATAAGTAGCAATGGCCACTTCACCTCAGAGTAAAAGCCCTTAAAAGTAGTCATGCTACAGGTGGGCAAATAACAAATAAGCTGGTGGTAGGGAGAGGGAAGCAATTGTAGGTGAGTGTGAGCAGCTGAGCTCATCACCTGGTGCAAGAACTGGTGGTTTTGGGGGTTTGCAGCAGAAGTGAGCTCAGCTGAGCCATCTGAAAGGGCACAGAAAGGTGAGGGGTGGCTGTGCCCACAAGGACCGACCTGGGGGAAAGCAGAGAAGTAACTGATGGAGGAATTTTCTGTTCTCCCCACCAGCACCAAACCATTTGTATCAGCTTTTGTCAATGACAACGAAAGAACTAGAGAAAAAGCCCAAATCTCCCAGCTCTCTGCTTTCCTCCAGCAATGGGGCTGCAGAGCTCCAACTTAAGGAGGACCCAGAGTGTAGATCAAACATGGAAAACAGCTGCACAGCAGTGAGGGAAGACATTTTACAAAGAGAATAATGTTTAATTCCAGTGACAGCTGCGCTGTGAAATCATCATTAAACTGAAGAAAGGGTAGTTGGACTGAAGAGGACAGCCGGTGGTCACAGCCGTGGGACTGGTGCCACAGTCATGTCACCGACTTGGATTAGACAGTGCTGATGCATCAGCACTCGTGAGGCATCACGTCTGGACATGTGTCTTCATCTTCTAATAACTCATAACTCCCAGCCTTTTTTTTTTTTTGTGACTCCATTCTCCCTCTCCTCACCACATACATGCTCCCTGGCTGGTAATTTCATGTGCTCACTCACAGTCAGCAATGCCAGATGTTTGTCTAAGAGTCAAACAGGAGTGGGCTTCTCTTAGATTTATGAGCCCATGCCCATGGTGGCACATCCCACTCAGAGTCCCTGTGGTCTAGAAGCTGAAGAAAAACAAATCCAGGCCCTCAAATATCCCACATCCAAATTTTGACGTTCAGGATCCCCTGTTTTGCAAAATTCAGACCTGGTAGCTCAGTGTCTAGCTGAGTCTATTATCTGTCCCCTCCTGCCCACCACTAGGACAGGAGCTGCTACGGGAGCAGTGCTCTCATTGATCTGATTTGCCCTTTTCTGAACTCAAGCCTTGTAAACTCACATGTTCAGTTTTGCAGGCCTTTCAATCCCCCCCCGTGTCACACAAACACTTCCAATCCTTTCTAGTTGAGCACGGCCTGGATAGAGATACCAGACCCCCAGAGAGAGGACACCTGGAGGGAAAAATGCCATCTACTCCCTCAGCTGTTTTCCTGAGGTTCAAACCTGACTGAGAACAATACCTTTAGGAACAGGAAGGTGACTCTAGCTCACTATGTTAAATTGGTTATTTTCTTGAAGAACGTTTTGCCTTAATGCACCTCAATTCAAGGCAAGTCAAGGTCTTGCTTTGAAAAGCCTTCAGCTACAGTTACCCAGACCTGCTCTGCCCACGCTCCCCTTGTTAATTGTCCTTTTTTCCTTAACCAACAAGAAACTCAGGCTCTTGCCCTGACAATCCCACCTCTGGCAGCACCCTGTGTAGTGAAGGGAGAACGAAGCAGTTGTAATCCTCACGCCATGGCAACAAGCAAGAGGAGAAGATAATGAAAATATTAATCTGAAAGATGCCAGTCTCGGGGAGCTGGACGCAACGTTGGTGTGTGAAACAGGAGGGAGTCTGGAGCTGACACCAAGAACACACCGACATGCTCAAGGGCCAACAAGAAATACGAGATGCACCTGAGGAGCACACAAGTGTGTTCCCATCCTTGGAGCAACTGATCATATCATTAACCCCTCTCCCTTTACAGTCATCAAGTCTTATCTAAGATTAAAAAAAAAAAAAAAAAAAGAAAAGCCAGTCTAGGAAAAAGCTCTTAAATGTGGAAACACAGAAGAATTGGTTGACTTTTTTGTCTGTGTTGCAGCAACAGCCCTGCTTTTCCAGCCAGGGAAAGTAGGTCCAAGGCTATCTTTGGCAGCTTGGAGTCACAGATATCCTCTGAAAACAACTTTGCTTTTGTCCTACTGCTGTGGGCACACGTGTCTTATCTCACTCTGAACAGGGCTTCAGAGAGACAGCACCAGATAAACTGAATTGGAGCCTGGGAGTCACCCAGCCCACGGCTTTTTCTTTTGCTTTGGACATGTGAGAGAGGCTCCAAAACCCACCAGCCTCCTCTTCCTGAATATATCTTCATGCACTTTACATCAATGTTCAAGACCAGGCTGGATGGGGCTTTGAGCAACCTGGTCTGGTGGGAGATGTCCCTGCCCAGGGCAGGGGGGTTGGAACAAGATGATCTTTAAGGTCCCTTCCAACTGTAACCATTCTATGATTCTCTGATCATCTAGCAGTAGAGAGGAAGGATGACCTCCATTGACCTGTTGGCCACACTCTTTTTAATGTACCCCAGGAGAACACTGGCCTTCTTGGCCAAAAAAGGCACATTGCTATCTCATGGACGACCAGTTCAAGCAGATGCTCTTTCCTATAGAATCCAACCAAAAGTACTAAACAGTGTTCTTCTGATCTCTCCAAATCCACCATTATCTACAAACATTTATTTCCACAAGAGCTCAGAGGTGTGAATTTGAGTAGCAATTCTACTTTGTCCTCATAACATCTGGACTCCCAGGTCACAGCTCATTTTCAGTGTCCTGGGAGGTCATTTAAATTCATGTCTAGTATCAGTGTAATTTTTTTCATTTTTTTGACTGTACAGTTTTTTCTATTCATTTGTTGCTAGCCAAAGCAGAAATACTCATTAGGGCATACAATGAAGGCAGTAATATTGCTAAAGAAGGAGAAATAAGAGATAAAATAAGAGAGTTACAAAAGCCTACCTGCCAGGAAAAATAAGTGATAGAAATAGCAAAGCAAACCCCCAAATCTGACAGACTGCAGGCCAAGGGAGCAAGCAGCTCATGGAATTAGCAGGAAACTCCAAGAGCTTAGACCAGCTATGAATTTGGCTGCTTGTCTTGAGAACATATTTCTCCAGAGTGTCATAGGCTTTTTTGTTTGGTCCATACCAAGCAAACTAGCAATGAGATGATGTTATTTTTCAAAAGCAGGTCCTGCTAACACATATTTTACTAAGAATAGATGCAGCCTGCAAAGCAGCCAATGTTTCCTTAACCTTCCCAAGGGATATCTGCTTGACCTGGTCTTCTCACTTGCCTACATTTCCTCCTGCCTCTTCCTGGCCTTCTCATGGGCTCTCCATTTATTATTCCAGAGGCAAGTTTTCCCTCTGCCTAACAAAAATGTTCCAGTGAGAGTAGGGATATGGAGAATCTTTCCAAAGGGAGATATCTAAAGGTTCATGGACAAGTTTCCACTATCTCATGCCTTTTTGTCATCTTGGCAGTTACTGTGCTTTCCAAGTTTCCTTTCTACCTCCACGTTTCTCAAGGTCTCACATATGACTACCATGATAGTAGTCATCCAAAACCAGTTGAGGCCAGAGAGGAATAAAGTAGCCTTAGCACCAGTCTGTTTTTCCAGTCTCTATCCTATTTGGCTTGCAACCTTTAACCTTTTCATACAGTATCTGATTACTGTATTCAGGGACTCAGATGAACATTGCTTGGCCCAGGCCCAAGGATGGAGACCCGTATGCTGTTCTCGCTAACTTTGCACATGGCCTCGGGACATCTCCAAAGCCTTCAGGAACTCATGTTCTTCGCCATCCTCTCTGCTCTTTGGTTTGGGAAAAATCAAAACCTCATAGAATCGTTTAGGCTGGAAAAGATCATCAAGTCCAACTATTAACACTACTAAGTCCACCATGAGACCATGTCCGTCAGCACCACGTCTACACGTCTTTTAAACCCCTCCAGGGGTGGTGACTCCATCACTTCCCTGGGAAGCCTGTTTCAATGCTTGATAACTCTTTCAGTGAAGAAATTTTTCCTAATATCTATCTTAAACCTCCCGTGCCATGAAGGTTTGCTCTTGGGCAGTATTTCCTAACTTTTACATCTCACGTTTCAGCATATGGATTTTATCCCCGCTCTAGACACTAGAATCCAGCACTTTTCCAAATCAGAGTAATCAACTTGTGGTTTTCCCTAACTGTGAGAGCGACACCCTGCCCTGTAGCCTCTCCTTTGAGACTGATGTCTGATTCTCTACATCTCATTTAGGAAGAGCTCAAAAATCGCTTTTTTTTTTCAGCTCAACAATCTTTAAGGCATGGATGCAGCAAATGCTTACAAATGTGTTGAGTGTCCAGGTCTAGGATCTAGATTGACAGAGTATGGGAGACAAGCTAGAGGAGAGGCTGGACCTGTGCCCTCAGGGAGTGCTAAAAGCCACTGTACAGGCTAGGTAGTCTTTTTTTATTATTATTATTACCTTTAAAAGACCTGTAAATATTCTCATTCAGAATCTTGTGTTGAAATTCTGCGAATGAAAATGCCAGAGCATATTTAAACCCATGAAGCTGGTCTTTCCTGGTGCCTGAGCCTATAGAGACACCCTGCAGGTGCAGGGTCACAGGCTCTATAAATATGCTGTTACCTGCAGAACAACCAACGCAGGAGGTTGGTGCTCACCAAGGGTGGCAAGATGACCTACCTCCCTAAACACGATGGCAAATGAGCTAATGGCATCACCGATGGCATAAGCAACAGAATTAAAAGCTCTCTTCATTGCTACATCATTCTGAGCTGTCTTTGGAGACCTGAGAGGGCCTTCTGGTGACACAAAGGGGAGTCATTAGGCAGGGCCTAATTATAACCAACACACGTTGATTTTCCATGGCAGCCTTGGCCTGGTCAGAAAGCCCAACATGGTATAGTATAACAAAGAAACAGACCATAAACATTTCCACTTAAGCCCTCTGACTCACAGGCATCTCTTGACAATGGATATTGATAAATAACCTTTTTCCCCTGTGGTGTTTGCTTCCAGACCTGCTGCTCCACATGCTTTCTCTGTCTCCTTTAGAACTGGTTATTCCATTGGGAATAATCAAAGAAGCAGGGGCAGGCTCTGTGTGTGTGTGTGTGTTGCTTTGCAAGACAGGTGTTGGGCAAGTAACAGAGCTTGAGCCATCCTCCACGTGAACACCCACCCAAGGGCCAGCTTGGGTCTCCAGCTCCAAGTCCCAGCTCATGAGGTAATCACAGCTTTATGGAAGAGAACAAATGCCCTTCCCAGCACCACTCAGCACCTCCAAGGGATGGCAAAGAGTGGGACAAGAGCCAGTGAGTTCTACAGATCAAGTGTCACTGATGGAATCGGGCACTGAGTCACTGACGGGAAAGGCTGAGTATGAAAGGAGAGGTCCAGAAAAGGCAAACCAGAAAACCAAAAAAAAGAAAAAAATCTGAGAGTCTTAAAGACAGGTGTGAAACACCGGCCATTCCTAAGCATCTATTTTGTGACTCAAGTGCCACAGCCTTTTATATCTGAGGGTTAATTTACAGGTGCTGCCTGGGTGCAAACTGCCCCCTGTAACCTTGCCAAATGGGAGAGCAGGTGGAAAATGGAGAGCTTCCTTTGTGAAAATGTGTGTAACATTTTTGTCACCACTCGATCTGACCTCCACCAGCGTTGAGGAACCTTCTGAAGGCAAGTCCGTCACCCCCAACCAGAGCAAACAGAAGCACCCTGGACCTGGTAGAGTTTTGGGAACATACAAGGACTGTAGGGTCTCCAGCAACACAAGCTGTGAAAAGGCTGAAGATGCCTGGCAAGAACAAGGCTGCTGGTGGGTCACTCTGTACAGGAAAACTGAGATGGACTGTAATTAGTCTTGGACTAGGTCTCCCAAGGCATCCAAGGCATCCTGACACACAGCTTGCAGGGAGGAATTTCCTCTGCTTCTGCTTAAATGGCACATGTGTCCATTTCACTAAACCCTGTGGTGAATATAAAGGAGGGTGAGATAGGGCTTCAGCAGTCCCTGATCCAGAGGAAGGTAATGGATCTCTCAGATTACTGTACAACCAGTAGGAATGGGAATGCTAGAGATCTGGTTCATCCCAGCTGTCCCACAACCAGACAGTTCTACATCATCCATCCCTGACTTATTTATTACCTCTTCCTGAACTCCCTACAGCGAGGAGACTCTGTCTCCATGTCATCTATTCTAGCATCATCTAGTCCATCTATTTACAGCTGGAGGGTTTTATTCATGTCGAACGCAACTCCTTTATAGCAGTTTGGTGGCAGAAGCTTTGTTGGCTCTCCCACACCAGTTTGGAAGCACATCACCTGTCTCCTTGCAGACATGCCCACCCCAGTGAGAAACACAAGGACCCACCTTTGACAGTGACGAGCACGGAGCTGTACGTCTGGCCTGCCAGGTTGGAGGCCGTGCAGGTGTACAGCCCATTGTCTATCTGCTTGCAGAAAAGGATCTTCAGCACAAAGTTCTCCTGGTCGTCCTCATAGATGACATGCCGCCGCCCTTCCAAGATGACCTCGTTGTCCTTCTTCCACACGATCTCTGGCTTGGGTTCCCCCGTCACGTAGCAGCTCAGCTTGGCGTGCTTCCCCTCCGTCACGCTGCACATGCGGGTCAGTGTCCCAAAAGTTGCGTTGCGGGCCCCTTTGGTGGTAAGTCCAGCTGCCCGCTCGTAATCCCGGGAGAGGCTGTAGCCGATGCTGGACAGCCCTTCTGACGTGGAGTAAGACTGGGCAGATGTTGAATCAAGAGCCCCATGGGAGATGTCCATCTTCCTTATCTCCTCCCGCCTCTTTTGCAAGTGAGACAGCAAGGATGACGTCTTGCCACAGCTGGTATCGAAGTGGCTGCTGCTGCCCGGGTTGGAAGAACCCTTTGTTTCCACCACCAAAGCAGCCGAAGCGCTGGCAGAGCCAATGAGGTTCTCTGCCCGGCAGGTGTAGGTGCCACTGTCCCCCAGTTGGGTACACTGGATGGTGAGAGCATTTGACTCCCCAGCAGACGCGATCTGGAAGCGTCCAGCATCAGCCCGGTTCCGCAGGTATCTCCCATCCTTCTCCCAGTTCACCGAGAGGGGAGGGCTGCCCTGGACTTTGCATTTGAACATGGCATCTTCTCCCAATGTTACTTTGATGGAGGAGGGTTTCTGGATGAAATACGGGGCGTACTCCGTTACTGTGGTCTCCTCTCCAACTTTGATGCTGACAGCTGCAAAAGCTTCCCCGATGGTGTTCTTGGCCCGGCAGATGTATTGGCCACTGTCCTCCAAGCTCAGATCATAGATTGTTAGCCGATAGAGATCCCCATCTTCTGTGGTTTTAAACCTTCCCCCAGACTGGACTGGAAGTTTATCCTTTTCCCAGCTCACAACTGGGATGGGGTTTCCAACGATCTGGCAGCTCAAGGTGGCATCCTTCCCCACAGACACCATGAACGCCTTGGGCCGGGTCAAGAACCGGGGGACTCCGCTGAGCGAGCTGTAATCCATCTTGGTTTCCTAAAGGGTGAGAAATAAAAAAAGTCAAGAAAGAGCAGATTAGATGGTGCAGGTGAAGAATCGCTGCCCTTCCATGGTATCAGGATGTTTGTCGCCTAGAACAGTGAGGTTTTCATTGTCCTTCTCATTACAGGTGAGAAGGTCTTGGAATATTTTACATCTTGAAGATTTCTTAAATTTGAGCTCAATGATGTGAAATGGCTGATGGAAAAGGTAGTTTGCCTCCCCACAAGAGTCACTGGGTAAGATACAAGTCTTTGGGCAGAAAGAACGTGATGGTCCCTTTCAACTTTGGCTGTAGGAAAGGGATCTGCACTAATGCTTTGTAACATAGGGGCTGCTTCTGTAGCTGTAGAGAAACAAATGGATGCTTAATTCTGAGATGTGCCTAGCTATGAAGATACTTTCTCCTTCATGCTCATCTCCTTTTCTGTTTTGTCTCTCTTTTTGTATCTTATTGCTTTTGCTTTTTGGCAAGGTCAGATGGGGCTTTGAGGAACCTGGTCTAGTGGGAGGTGTCGCTGCCCTATGGCGGGGGGCTTGGAACTGGATGATCTTTATGGTCCTTCCCAACTCTAACCATTCTATGATTCATTTTTTCCCCTCATTACAGGTGAGAAGGTCTTGGAATATTTTACATCTTGAAGATTTCTTAAATTTGAGCTCAATGATGTGAAATGGCTGATGGAAAAGGTAGTTTGCCTCCCCACAAGAGTCACTGGGTAAGATACAAGTCTTTGGGCAGAAAGAACGTGATGGTCCCTTTCAACTTTGGCTGTAGGAAAGGGATCTGCACTAATGCTTTGTAACATAGGGGCTGCTTCTGTAGCTGTAGAGAAACAAATGGATGCTTAATTCTGAGATGTGCCTAGCTATGAAGATACTTTCTCCTTCATGCTCATCTCCTTTTCTGTTTTGTCTCTCTTTTTGTATCTTATTGCTTTTGCTTTTTGGCAAGGTCAGATGGGGCTTTGAGGAACCTGGTCTAGTGGGAGGTGTCGCTGCCCTATGGCGGGGGGCTTGGAACTGGATGATCTTTATGGTCCTTCCCAACTCTAACCATTCTATGATTCATTTTTTCCCCCTCTTTCTCCTTGCCTTTTTTTTTTTTTTCTTCTAATTCCACTTCTACAACATGCTCCACCTCTCCCCTTGCCCCCTCTGGTCATTACCCACCCCCTAGGCCTTGTTCTGTGAATTATGTTCACACTGACCTTACAATAAATCTCTTTCCTGCAGGAATCAGCCTTTGGGAGGACACACAGATATTCCCATCGTATTACTGATGACATTTCTCTTTATCCCATTTTCCATTCAACACGATCACTGAGAAACAGCTACTTTGTTGGCCATGGTGGTTGATGAGTATCTATGGCTTATCTACAGCCTCAGCCAGATGGTGCAGGGTCAGACACAGCTGCAGTGGGGATGGCTGGTTGTGCATATCCGTGGGTGGATGCACATCCGACACGGAACTGCCACGGGGAACGCACGCGACAATCCCAATGGTGCCAGACTTCTCCAAAAAAAAAATAATATAAAAAACCCCCACGTGGCTTAGGGTTTAGAGGAAAGATGTCTCATCACCCGCGTATTCTCAGCTGCTCTCAGCCCCCCCTTTTCCCTTGCCTTTTTTTTTTTTTTCTTCTAATTCCACTTCTACAACATGCTCCACCTCTCCCCTTGCCCCCTCTGGTCATTACCCACCCCCTAGGCCTTGTTCTGTGAATTATGTTCACACTGACCTTACAATAAATCTCTTTCCTGCAGGAATCAGCCTTTGGGAGGACACACAGATATTCCCATCGTATTACTGATGACATTTCTCTTTATCCCATTTTCCATTCAACACGATCACTGAGAAACAGCTACTTTGTTGGCCATGGTAGTTGATGAGTATCTATGGCTTATCTACAGCCTCAGCCAGATGGTGCAGGGTCAGACACAGCTGCAGTGGGGATGGCTGGTTGTGCATATCCGTGGGTGGATGCACATCCGACACGGAACTGCCACGGGGAACGCACGCGACAATCCCAATGGTGCCAGACTTCTCCAAAAAAAAAATAATATAAAAAACATGGCTTATCTACAGCCTCAGCCAGATGGTGTAGGGTCAGACAGAGCTGCGGTGGGGGTGGCTCTTTGTGCACATCCATGGCTGGATGCACATCTGACAAGGAACCGCCACGGGGAACACATGCGACAATCCCAACGGTGCCAGACTTCTCCAAAAAAAAAAATAATATAAAAAAACCCCACGTGGCTTAGGGTTTAGAGGAAAGATGTCTCATCACCCGCGTATTCTCAGCTGCTCTCAGAGGGAGCTGAGCACCAGCCTGCAGCTGTTGGACGACACGGACCGGCCAAGGGGACAAGGCTTAAGCCGCGTTTAGAACTAAAGCTCATGGCAGTTCTGGTGCCGTTGTGTCCCGAGAAAGTCTAAAGCGATCAGTGGCACTAATCATTCCAGCCACGTCACTCACACACAGAGTCTACCCACCCCTGTGCAGCTGGAGACCAACGGGACAGAGATCACCACCTTCAGGGTCCCCCCCCACAAAACACACAAACTTATCTTGCTTCTTCACATGGACTCTTGGATATCCTTCTTCTCCAGGAGTGAGTCTGCTCCTAACCCTCCTAGAAGCCCCTTTCCATACATTGGTGGGCATTTACTTTGATAAAAGCCTGATCTTGACCCGATTAATACCAGTAACTGGGAACCAGCTGGCTCATCCTGGGAACAGGATTAGACCCAACAATAATGCTCTGTGAGGAGAGCAAGCACCCCAGCTCCAAGCCTCTCTGGAAGTCCTACTCAAAAGACTTGAGTGCCCCGTTTCTCTCCAAGCTACTGTATCTCTTTGGTCTCATGATGCCACACACTCCAGTGTCCTAGAAAGCTCATGAAGCTCCTGTCTGAGCTACAGAAACTGCCCCTACTCAGGGGTGGTGGCAGTGCTGCTCTCACAGCTGTGCTTTTTCACCTTCAAAGTGCCACACAAAGCAAAACAACCCGCACGCTGCCCGTCGTAACTCAGAAAGGAAATAATAACCAGCCACCGCGACAGAAATATCCTTCTTAATCCCACAGCAGTTTGGCTTCCCCGCTGGCCACAAATCCACCCACTCGCTCACCCAATGGCCGATGCTCTCACAATCTCCCCTCCACCTCCAGCAGAAAGCAGTAGGAGCAGGCAAAAAAAACCTCTGCTTGCATTTCTTGAGCTACCATTTGGGCAGAGGTTTCAGTATTTTTTTCCATCCTCCTCCAGCAGTGTGTTAACACCAATGTGCAAATCACTGGTGGGACCAGGGAGAGGGGGTTGGATTGACCTGTCTCGTGACCTTGGGGAAATTGTATATTTTTCCTGTGTCTTGGCTCCCCCTCTCATTTCTTCTTCCTATCAGGACAGGGATGGCCTCGCAAATAATTATCTGCAGAATGTATTTGCTGCATTATATGACAAATCATGCGTGAGAATTAAGAACAGATTACAATCTTGCATTCTGTTTACTCTGCTGAGGATTTAAAGACACAAATTGACATTGAAACTAAATACTGGGAAAGCGGTGGCACAAAATGGTATTGATTATAATTATTATTACCATTGAAGACGGTATAGCTGAGCTAATCAACATCATTTGGGCCACAGATCTAAGGCAGAAAAAAATGTGGTCTTCTTTCTATATTTAAAATGAAAAATATACTACTTTCTGTCCTGTCTCTGACTTTACAAGCACGTATGAAACTCATAAGAAGCTGTCAAAGACCTTTGCCTGTAGAGAAAATTCATCCTTTCTAAAGTAATTCACTTCTGAGTGTTTTTTTTTTTTCTGGTATCCAGCAAATTTCATTTTTCCACCAAAAATCTTTAGTAATTAAAGAAAATGCTTTCAAAGCTTAAACCTGAAAAAAAAAAAACAAAACAAAACAAAAAACCAGTAATAGGGAAATAATTATTCTTAGTAAATACTAAGAAAGTAAAGAATGATTGACTTGTAATCACTAATGCTAAGAGAGGCTGACACCCTGTAGAATGATCGCCTTCGTTACTAGTTGCAATAAATACACACAACTATTTTTCCCTTGGTCTCAAACTGGTCTAGAAACCTGTGAACTAGTTTGCACTTCTTTAGCCCCTCTCACTACCTTTGACCTCTGTCCTCACTTGAGCCTCAAAATGTGTTTTCCATAAACACTTGCGAAGCTGCAAGCAGAGAAGCGGCATGAATGGTTAGAAGACACAGATACAAGCCTTGAGCCCCAGCCAAAGTACACTGAAGTCAGTGGAAATTTCCACTGAAGTCAATTGATTGACGATCAGAGTCTCCTGCTAATTTGGGGAAGGACCATTTCAATGCTCGGGGGGAAAAGCTGTGATTCAAGTTCATCTCCGCAGAGCCCAGCAGTAACATTCACTATATTAACTTAGAATTAATAATTAAAACACAGAGCCAGAGCTCACCTCCTAATCTCTCCTATGAAGACAGGCTGAGACAGTTGGGATTGTTCAGCCTGGAGAAGTCTCATGGGAGACCTCAGACCCCCTGCCAGTCCCTAAAGGGCTACAGGAGAGATGGGGAGGGACTCTATCAAGAAGTGGAGCAATGGGGATGAGGGTTAATGGTTTTAAACTGAAAGAGGGGAAACTTAGACTAGATATTAGGAAGAAATTCTTTACTCTGAGGGCAGTGAGGCACTGGAACAGGTTGCCCAGAGAAGCTGTGGATGCCCCATCCCTGGAGGTGTTCAAGGCCAGGCTGGATGGGGCTTTGAGCAGCCTGGTCTTGTGGGAGGTGTCCCTGCCCAGGGCAGGGGGATGGAACTTGATGATCTTTAAGGTCCCTTCCAACATAAAGCATTCTATGATTCTGTGAATCTCTCCCAGCCATTAGCTGGAATTTCAGGCTGCAATGGGGCATCAAAGTGCTTGGATCCATCTTCAGAAGACATTGCCATGTCTCATCCCTCCTAGCTCCCTAGTTGTTTCTGACAG